AGAGGAAGGAGGATGGTCTGCTCTATTGGATTTTCCCAGGTCTTGCCGAGTCGGGGGTGAGATCCACGACCTGAACCGAGTGGATTTGGATGAGCACGACTAGGATGGATGTAAACCAGTGATGGCAATTGTCATTTTTCAGAATGGTACACATTTGAAAATTCATACCGAGAGCTGCTAGTTCCATGTATGGTTCCATTTTTGATTGGATTCAAGACCAAAAAGGGCACTCTTCTCTGCGAATAACCGAAAGGGGTAAGTCATACATCATGAAATTATTCCCCTGTAATTACGAATGTCCGTCACGGAATTGAAAATGACAAAATGGAAACAATAAATCCATGATATGAAGAAGTCTCCACTATTTTGTCCAGGGGGGCAGATCGTGAGACAGATATTTTCGTATACGGAGGTTCTCGCTGGCACAGATCTCACGGTTTCGGAAACGCCGCTGCTTTTGCCTCCATAAGCAAGCCGAGTTTTACGGCGAGATCCGTATAGCGACCCTTGATACTCAGCTCTTTTGCTCAGCAATTTGTCCATAACTTCAAGGCTCATGCCCTGTGAACACTGAACATTTTCGCCCTGCACATTAGCCGGTGGATCACAGAAAATGCATGTCCCAAACGATAAGTCAATAACACGGTCGAGATCGCTCCACCGACGAGCAGGAACATGATCATCGATCCCGGGTGGGCTCAGTATCAGACCGTCGGTTCCCGCTGACGAACTTTGGCCCGGGAATAGTATCATTTGCACGTCTCAGCCGTGGATATCTGGTAGTGTCCTGGACGGAGTCGAAAGCACGAGCCGCTAGAAGAAATCCAAGCCGTGCGGACCCTCGCCGACGCCAATAATCGAGGTGGAAGAGGGTGGGGAGACCAAGACTGGACCAGCGATCGAGCAGAAGAAAAAAGAAAACCCAAATCTCGTCGATCGGGAAGGAGCCACTTGGACCAAAGACTAATTGAGGGCGACCCAAGATTCCTTTTTCCGCCCACGAGGCCCCGAGCAGGTTTCAGCCGGAGAGCGTGGCGGGTCACGATGCCCGCCAAACCCTAACTCACGCCTCTCATTGCTGCGGTTCCGGCGTTTCTCTGTTTAGAAGAAAGACTAGCGCAAGGTACTTGTTGGAGCAGGTGGAGCTGAGCACTGTGCCGATCACTCGGTGAGAGCAGCAATGGCCGAGCTGTTCTTTTTTTTTTTTTTTTTTTAAAGTGGAGCCGGGAATTTGATTTCAACCACGGGCGTCATCCAAGACTACAATCGGATTCGATTGCATAGCTAGCATTCACAGTCACAATCACATTCATCTGCACGAGCTGGTCTCACTTCCTACTCCCTTGTCTTTTGCACTTTCTTTTTTCTCACAACTCCCTAACGCAAGCCCATCATGACTTCGCCATTTCCTGCCATCGACGTGCCGTCGGTCGACCTCTGGACCTTTCTCTTCGAGCGTGGCGACCGCCCGTACCCCGAGCAGAAGGGTATGCCAATCATCTGCATATAATCCTTTGCTCCATCTCGCTAACCCGATTGCTGCAGCCCTGTTCACCGACGCTGACACCGGTCGCTCCCTGAACTATGGTCAGATTCGCCAGAAGGCTTTGACTTTTGGCCACTCGCTACGTCGCAAATGGAACTGGCAGAGCGGCGATGTGCTCGCTACCTTTGCCCCTAATTCGATCGATTTGCCTCCTCTGATCTGGGGTACGCTGGCTATCGGCGGTGTTGTCTGTCCTATCAACCCCAGCTACCGTGCCGAGGAGCTGCTGCACCCCCTGAAAGATGCGAAGGCGAAGGCTCTGGTCACGCAGCGCGCGCAGTACCCCGTGGCCATGGAGGCTGCGAAGAAGGCGGGTCTCCCGGTTGATCGCGTCCTCATCCTCGACGAACTGCCGCGCGATATGACTGAGAACGGCGTCACTTACGGACCCCACAAGGCGCCCGTCGCGCGACCGGACACCGACCTGGCGTTCTTGGTCTACTCGTCCGGCACGACGGGACTGCCCAAGGGTGTGATGCTGTCGCATCGCAACATGGTCGCAAACCTTCTGCAGTCGGCGTCCGTCGACAATGGGTTTCTCGCTTGGAACAACGGTGTTAACGGCGAGGGTGATCGCGCTCTTGCGCTTCTCCCATTCTTCCATATCTATGGTGCGTTTTTTCACATGTGAATGATTGCAATCACGAAATTGATCTGACTCCCCGCTCCAGGTCTTACCTATCTCCTCAACCACACTATCTACCTCGGTCTGCACACCTTCGTCATGCCGCGCTTCCAATTCGACACCTTCTGCCGTACTGTGCAAGATCAGCGTATCACCTACGCTTACGTCGTGCCTCCCGTTATTCTGGAACTGGTGTCCAACCCCCGTGTGTCGCAATACGATTTGCGCTCTCTGCGCATGATGCTCTCCGCCGCCGCGCCCCTCGCGACGGAACTCATTCACTCCCTGCGCGAAAAGCTCGACCTCTCGGTCCGCCAGGCTTACGGTATGAGCGAGTGCGCCCCGTGCACTCACATGCAGGTACGTTTTTTCCCCTCCTATTTTATATCTAATCCGATCGTTAACGCTCACCCGAAATAGACCTGGACCGAAGCGCGCTCCCATCCCGGCTCCGTCGGCCGTCTCCTCCCCAACATGACGGCCAAGTATGTTCCCGTTGAAGGCGAAACTGGCCGCTCCGCCGAACTCTGGGTCAAGGGCCCCAACGTGTTCCTGGGGTATCTGAACAACCCGAAAGCCGACGCCGAGTCCTTCTCCGAGGACGGATACTACAAGACCGGTGACGTCGGATATGAGGACAAAGATGGCCACTTCTTCATCACCGACCGCGTCAAGGAACTCATCAAGTATAATGGGTTCCAGGTCGCGCCGGCCGAGCTGGAAGATATTGCGCTGGGTCATCCGGGCGTGGCCGATGTTGCAGTGACGGGTATTAAGAGTGGGCAGTCTGGTACGGAGCTGCCCAGGGCGTATGTTGTTCCTGCGCCAGGCTTTTCGGCTGGTAAGCCGTTGGCAGATGAAATTATCGCGTTTGTGGCAGAGAAGGTCATCAGTTATAAGAAATTGAGGGGTGGTGTGCATTTTATGGATGCTATTCCCAGGAACCCGTCGGGCAAGATTTTGCGAAGGGAGTTGAAGAAGTTGGATCGGGCTGCGAAATTGTAAATTCTGGCCTTGATTGGGATAAAATGGTTTTGTGTATATAGATGTTTAAAGTACTTTAATTTGAAGACTACATATGAAGTTCCTTAATATATATATTGTCCACGAACACAGATTACTGTTCCACTTAATCCAATACCTGGTAAGCTTTCGACCTCAGTCATAGAATATTCAATGCAGGATCACATTAGCACAGTCACTACTCAAGAGTCTAAGACCAAGCCACCTGCCTAATATGAGCAACCTGGCTTCGTTTCGTACAACAACCACAATGACCATGATACGAATGCCTCGTGGATCAGGCATCCAGGGGCAAAGACACCATCAAAGGATGGTAATTGGGTCCGCTAATCGGAAGGGCGGATGGAGGCTCTTCCAGGTCGTGCTCCACATCCCGTCCTTCTGCCAGCGGAAGTCTTTCTCCGGTTTTTTTCTGAGGATTTGCAAATAATCAGCAGCGCGAAGGATCACGGACCATGCTGTAGCGTCTGCATCTTCCCCTGAGGTGATATACCTTGGTGAAAGACACCATAACCCGAGCAAATTGCTTCAATTTTGGACGTTCTCGACTGAATAGATAACTGGTAGCTAGTAAGATCTAGGCAGCTCGGTGAGACATTGACTCTCGGGGGTACATTTTGCTTACAGTTTTCATGTAGAAGTTTTCTTCCATGTTAGACTTTGCATCTGAGATTCAACCAACCTTTCCAGGTTCTGTGTCCTTTTCACCCCAGCTCATTGGCCCTACGGCATTTACCGATTTGAACCAAATCCTACCTATTTCTGGAATGCAAAATCGAGCAGGTCCCGAGTCCCCACTTGCACCGGGCCATTTCACGCTAACATCGCTATCCAAAGTTTACTCTTTTTTAGCGGATTGATGTTCTTCCCTGTGGAGTGTGGATCTGGTATTTTTTCTCTTCAGATCCAGTTCGGGTGTTTCTGAGCTGATCTGTATCCACCAAATATCCGGTTTGTTGATCTTCTCGCCCGGATATTTGGCCACCGGGTGTTTTGGCCGGGTGTTTTCGTAAGTGCCGAGGACTAGGGGCGTAGATCTCTTGGTCGACACGGGAGATGCAGGATTTTCTTGGGCTTGCTGAGGTTTGGGATTTGTCACTCATTCGTGAGCGTGCTGGGTCCATGAGGTATTTACTTTTTCTTTTTAGGCGTGGTGGAGGTTGCTTGGAGGTTCGCTTTTTTGCTTGGTTGGGTTCGTTTAAATTGCCGTGCAGGCTGAATACTGCCGGGAATTTGGATTACGATTTCTCAGACTAGGGGATGGATCTGATAACTAGTTTCTTCCGGGTTCTTTTGTTTTTTGTTGTTGTTGTGATGGGGTTTCAATTTATCAGTGGCTCTGGCTAAGGGGTTTTCTTTTGCCCCTGTATCTGTCCCAAGGTTTTATTTTTATTTAATCTTTGCCATTTTCCATTCTCTGTTTTTTTCTTTCTCGTCTTGACGAGGCTCTATTGCGTTTAGGAAAATTCTGCAAGATCGACAAGAAAATCAAAATAAAACAAATATCCGGCCAGCTGTAAACACCCGGCTTTCGGTCTTCCTTTATGCCGAGGCTGATGAATGGACCACCGGGAAAAAGGAAACAAATATCCGGTTGCCCTATAGAGTAACTCGCGCAGAATATCGGCCGTATTCAGGATTATAATATAAAGAGACTTGGGCATCTCGGTGGATCTGTGAAATCGCCGGACTATTCTAATGTATGATCATATTTCATGATGCATGCTGTATCTGTGAAGGGGATGTGCTGCATAGAGCTTCTGTGTTGGGCTGGAAAGTTCTAATCTACATCGAACATGGACTGATTTATGCTTCCTGAATATTGCACACCATCTCGAGTGCCTCATCGGCAGAAATGCGACTTCTTGGTAGAAATCGCATTAATCCTCGAATCACTTGTAGTAGGGGTTGGAGTGTTGGTTCGTGCACATTCCCTGAAAACTTTCGTTCAAGTTTTGACATATCGCAATCTTTGAGCATAGTTAGCCAAAGAATCCATGATCCATCAAGTCCCTTACTCTTTTCTATCTCTAAATCGCGGCTGGAATCCATCTTCATGGACTCCCACTGAGACTCCCATTCGGCCGGCAATTTCTCCACTAAGTTAATCATTTGGCGAATCAAGACTTCGTCCTCGCCAAGATACCAGAACGGATATGTTGTGAATAGGAAGGAATATATCTAAGTGCCGTATTCGCATCAGTCATAACCTATACCAAGGTGGCTTGACCTACCATGCAACCTGCTCGCCATAAATCCACACGATAATCAAACGAATCCGTGAAAATCGTTTCCGGTACCCGCAATATACCCGGCTGAGCCAGTCTTGTAGGCTCCTCTCCCTGGAGAAAACTTTCACTCAAATTAAGGAGCCGAATGTCTTCATCGTCCTCGTCAATCCACTCAGTCCATTCTGCTGCCTTGGCCAGCTGAGTCGGTAGTTCCGTTTCTAACGGCGTGCCGTCAATACGATCCAGTGGCTCAATCTCTGGGAGTCCAAGAACTTCAAACAGTTGCTCCTCACTCATATTAGACAACTGAGCACAGGTAAATGCAATATTTCGACCGCTGATATATAATGCGGAGTAAGTATAACCAGGGTCAATTCTTAAAAAGCACTGCTGGTGCAGGATTATCTCACCTCGTCGATGCCCCATGGTAGTCCGTCATGACTTTATCAACGGATGGGCCATGTAACTCAAAGAAAAGACATTGGTGGACTCCATTGGGACCTTCGTGGGTGAAAGAATCCTGAAGCTGGACAATATGATTCGAAGAAGGCGTTCCTCGACAATGCCTCTCAAGATGCTTTAGACATTGCAGCTCATGAGATACCTGCGACTCCGAGGTCATGATCTTCAACGAGACCCATTGATTTTGACTAGTCTACAGTTAGCCACAGCTTCGAGTATTTCTCCTGGATGTATACATGGACCAACAGTTTGTCTCTCGCCAGCCATACGGTCGAAAAGCCGCCCCATCCTAGCTTATGACGTATCTCGTACCGACCGTTGTGGAATGCATCTCCAAGCTTGACCGGATGATAAACCCTAGGCCGATATTTTGAGAATTTTTCTTACGTGTAGAGAAGATTAATTTGGCGGAATAGATATAGATCCATGTTATGATTGAGGGTGAGATGGAGTGAGAGACTTGGAGAATGTGGTGATGCGACAAGATAAAGTTGCGTTCACCCGTAGCCGCCCGGGCGCATGGATCACCACTTTATCTTCAGATTGATGAACTCCACCAAATTCATACTTCTCATGTGCTACAGTGCATACTCTACTATCTATGTGCTTTTCTTGTGCAATACCATTTTATCTGATGAGGTCTATTTAGATATACTCAGTGCTTGTTAACGGTCTAGTCAGTATATTTCATTACCCGGATAAATCACCTACTACCTACACTGTGAAATTCAATAACAAACCAATTGTGATTATTTTACCGATTCTTGTTCTAATATATCTGTTCAGATCCCTTGTATTCCACGAATCAGCCAGGAAATGATAAAAGCATTGGCTTCATGACCGCCAATAATCGGTTAATTCCAAATGAAATTACTGCTGATTTGATTGAAATATGTGGACTTTGCAGAGTAGGTGAGGCGATAGGCTAAGAAATGTGAATTTTGTCAGGCTACGGAGTACAGTAGATCAATACAGCAACGGACTTTATACTACTATTAGTATCCAAGACCCTAACTCGACGCCACATTTGCGGTAAGACATTAGAAGATTACGTGTTGCGAGCTGAATATGAACTGAAAACTCGAAAAGTTGACAGGTCATTCTTGGTCAGTCGCACTAGCAATCCTAAGTCTTTTTCCGGCAAGACCTTGTGTTTTCTTCCCTTTTCTCTGGTTGTAGCAGTCCACTATAACACAAGTCAATGATATGAATGACTTACCTAAAAAGTGACAACTAACGAAGTGACGAAATGTGAGATTAATTTAATAGTCCTAGCCACCTTTCAGCCTCGCATATACTAACCAACTATGGACTATAACCAGGCCAAGGAAGAATAGGGCCGGGCTTGGTTGAGCCACTGTCAGAATTTAGTGTGGCGGTATCTCACTGAATGTCTGACTTTATTGAGGTTTTCGGACCCGACAAAGATTTTAGACGTGCCTCACGCTAGCGCTACTTAGAGGATGACAGGGTTCAGCTATTGAAGTCATATTTCCCCTCTTCTTTCGCCGTTGCAGAATCAGTCTAACGACAGCCACTGCTGAGGGCTGGCTGCCCGGCGATATGGTCAGATTGATCCTTCACCGGTCGGATTAGTATGGCGCCGTCAAGAGATGCCGTCGGTCTTACGTGACTCTCTCTTTTGTCACTCATCAGCCAAGTAACTCTGGAGTTTTCGTCGTCCGAATCGTCGACTGAGAAGAATGTGAATGCTGCAGTTTTAGAACGTGGATCGACGATATGAGGGGAAGGTATATGTTGATCACTATGACGCAGTCCTTATGATGCCGCGGATGTCTAGATAGCATTTACAAGCATTATGAACCGATGTCTCGTCCCCCTCATCTGAACGTGATTAACCCCTCAGCCAAGGCGTGTAAGCGCTGTCTGCAGCTTCCTCTCATTCAGCATGCGTAACCGAGCTAGTAGCCGAGGTTGCATCGCACCACCTTGCATGCACCATTATAATACCTACTAGGCGCTGATGCGTGGCTTTTGAAATGTTATTCTCATCGGCCGCGGTCGCATCGCTTCATAATGGCTGATACTCGGATTTCGCGCAATGTGGGCAACAAGGACTTCACGGAGTCAACGGTGGTTATTATCGGGGCGGGCTTTTCGGGTACGTTATTTGTTTGTTTAGGAAGCAAGGAATGGCTGGCTAAACCTCACATCACCATAGGCTTGTGTATGGCGATTGATCTCCTCAAGCGGACGCCGTGTCGGAACTTCGTGATTCTCGAGAAAGGCAGTCAGGTTGGCGGGACTTGGTTCGATAATAAGTATCCCGGATGCGCGTGTGATGGTAAGTGCCTTGTTAACCTGTTCTGCAAGAGCTTCGCTAACTCGGATAGTCTGGAGTACGCTATACAGCTTCTCCTTCGAACAGAAGCCCGACTGGTCGAGAGAACATCCTGGACAGGAAGAGATTCTCGTACATATCCCCATCTATAAACATTTAGAATACCGACTAATGTTCAACATAGCAATATCTTATAGGCGTTGCGGAGAAATACGGTCTCTTCAAATACATCCGCTTCAACACGGCCGTTCAGGAAGCCCGCTGGGATGATGAAAAACTACAGTGGACGGTGGACGTGGAAGTCTCCGGTGTCAAAGACAGACAATATATTGAGTCCTACCAGATAACCGCCGGTTTTTTGATCTCCGCCGTGGGCCAACTGAATATCCCTAAGTGGCCCTCGTACCCAGGTCTGGATGACTTCACGGGGAAGCTGATGCACTCGGCACGATGGGACTGGACTTATGATTTCACCGGAAAGCGCGTGGCCGTGATCGGAAATGGTACGCCCTTTCTTATGGCATTCTTTCCTAAATAAATGACAAGCTGACTCTCTTCTATCAACTCCAAAAGGCCCGACAGCCGTTCAAATCATCGGCGCTATAGCACCCTCCCTGTCGCATCTCACCGTTTATCAACGAACCCCCAACTGGGTCATCGAGCGCAACGATAAACCCGTCTCCGCAGTCCAGAGATTTCTTCTTTCACGCGTCCCACCCCTGCGGTGGCTCAAGCGCTCCCTTCAAATGCAATACCGTGAGCTAACACACATGGCTCTTACCGATGGCGAATCCGCAATGTCGAAATATTTTCGAAAAACCTCCATAGCAGCCATGAAGGCCCAGCTACCCGACAAGCCTGAATACTGGGATGAGCTGACCCCGAACTACGCCCCGGGGTGTAAGCGGATTATCATAATTGACGATTACTATCCCACTTTGAACCAGAAGCACGTGGTTCTCGATACCAGGCCGATTCATGGCCTGACGGCGTCTGGCGTTCAGACAGAAGATGGTGAGGTAGCGGAGTTCGATATGATTGTCCTGGCGACAGGGTTCCGGACCGTCGAGTTCTTGCATCCCATCAAGGTGTTCGGGGCTGGTGGCCGTCCTATCTCGGATGTATGGAAGGATGGACCTAAGGCGTATAAGGGGGCCGTGGTGGAGGACATGCCTAATTTCGGCATGTTATATGGGCCTAACACGAACCTTGGTGAGTATTCTTCTTCCGTCTTTGACTTGGTCCCGCAGCAACAGAAACAGTATATTGACATGGACAGGCCACAACTCTATCGTTCTCATGATCGAAGCGCAATCACGGTATTTGTCAACCCTCATCCACGGATTCATCAAGGCCAAGAAATCGGGCAAATCACTGGTGATCACTCCTCGTCCCGAAGTCGTCCAAAAATGGGACGATGCCGTTCAAACTCGACTGGCGAAAAGTAGCTTCGCGGATCCGGCTTGCCATAGCTGGTATAAGGCGGAAAACGGCCGGGTTACGCAGAATTGGTCGGGCACGGCAATACAATATCAGAAGGAAATGGCCCGAGTCCGTTGGGATGATTACATCGTTGAAGGCACCGGTAAGGAGCTGGTTAAGGGAAAGAACGTGTACATTGGCAGAGTTGTAGAGGAGATACCAATCAGCTATACGGCTTTAGTTCTTGGGTTGGTGGGTGTTGTGGCTGGCGGAGTGGGCTATATGAATGGGTTGACTGGGGAGAAGATTAGGCCATGGGCTTGGCATCTGGGATTGAAGCTGAAGGAGAAACTACTGGGGTAATCAGCGTTATTTCTTTGCTATTCATGGAAGGAACGGAGGTTCTTACAAGAGTTGACAGACATAGAATTGTTCAGATACGATAATACACAGTTTGGGATGGAATGCAATCCTAATAGTTCTCAAGATTATTGAAAGAAAGCAGACACAATTGATGAAGTGGAAGGAGTGACATACATGTTGTTATCCAATTCACTCCGGCTGTTGTGGATTATTCACTGCGTCAACATGACGCTTGTTCGCATCCCTAACCATACAAACTTAGCCCCCCCTTGTAACCTTCATACTGTCACGTTCTCACCCAACAGCCTAGTTTTCATCTATCTACTACTTCTCCAAAATGGAGGGCATGCAATTCTTTCCCGATGAGGTCTGGTTGCTCAGAGAGATCCAATCCAACTTTCCCTCCCCCTCGAATTAGAAATTGATCAACAAGGTCGAAGAACAGACCTCGCTGTTTAGTCGTCAGGATGCGGAAGAAATGGATCTCACTTCTTCGGCAACAGCCAAGTTTGTGTGCCAAAACACAACGAACCCGGACGAGGTGGCATGGATGAGCGTGCATATGCAGCTCCCCTACAAAGAGTCCGTTTTTCTATCAACCGCCAAGCGTGCCAGCGAGGTGTCATCCAAGATCTCCGAGGGAATGCAGTTCAATTTTGACGCCCGTAAACTCCTTCATGACCATGGGTGTACTTCTGCGCCAGCTCTCCTTGGGTACTCGCACCAAATGCAACCCGCGGACGGAATAGTGCCACGCGGCTATCTCTTCTACCTGGCTACCAGCAAAGTGCCGGGAATACCCCTTGGCACTGGAACCAACTCTGTAACCAGTCAAGGCTTATGCCAGTCGGACGGGGTCTTCTGGCAACTCCCGCGCAAGGATAGAGATCGCATTCGAGCGGCGTTTGAGGTGGCCTACAGGTTTGTGCTGAATTAATACCATGTTTTGCGCTTGACAAGGAATACTTACGGAGGTTATCTTCATCTAAAATAGGAGTGTCATTGGTTGCGGTGTGCATGGATCGGGTGATCTTCAGCACCTTTACTGGGACGAAAGTAGCGAGAAAGTATGAGTGATACTATCTTGGTGCCTGATGGGCGATTGAAGTCTATTCTCTAACAGTGCCATTCTGCAGTTATATCGACTGCAAGTTCACACCAGTTGATAAATAAATGCCTTTTTGGCTAATTCACCCGCCTCTTCCTTACGGCCCTTACGCCTCGTCTCTTTAGGGACTGGCGACATATATTATAAAAGGCCACCACACCACCAGCACCAAGGTCGATATGGAGGATTTGATCTTGTAGAAGGAAGGCTGACACAATGAAATCCCTTCAAAACTTCTTCCCGGAATGAAGATCCCCTCTACGGTGGAGGATTTCTTTGAAACATGAATGTTGATTGATCATGATTTTTCTTAGCTAAAAATAAACTGCAACTCACTAAATTGCTCATCAACCCAATTTATTTCCCTCGCTTCTTATTCATCCCGATTCAATTTAGCGTCACGGCCAGCGGCTGAGTAAAAGTCAAGACCTCCCGGTGAGCAGCCCGAAGAGACTCAATCGATTCCATCCCTCCTTAGTCTTCGAATCCGTCCTATTGACCCATTCTTGGAACGTAGTTCGTTGGGGATACACATCTTTCGATATTTGAATCTCTGTCTCGCGCTCGGGATACTTCCCGTTGACCGATCGATCGTGTGTGTCGTTAATTGTTTGTACACTAGGAATAGTCAGATGTCTTTATGTTTGGATACAGAAACAAGATAATTAGGTGTCTTACAGCTTCTGCGTATCAGCATTGACTTTCAATACCAACCGTGCAAGATAAGGCGAAACATAAGAAACGATAACCCCTGTGGTGGGACGATATTGCTCTTCTATTTGGCTGGATGTCAAGGACTCGGAAATAATGATCATCTCACGCGACGCGCATTCGGAGAAGTTCTGTACGTATAGATGGTGCGGTCAGAATGGGTTCGGACAATACAAAGCTAGCCAGTTCACCTTGAAGACAGCCGCTACAACACGTCCTATGTCATCTGCAGCCTTCGAACTTTTAGCAGTGGCGATATTGCGTTAAGACACTGTTCGCTGGATGCTCACCACCAGATCAAGGCGTGTCTCAGGCTTCAAACCAGTCTGCATTAAGTTAACGGCTAGTGCACCTAAAATTCCTGAGAAATTCTCCATGAAAAACCCGGGCTTCACGACGCTATATTTCATCGAGTGGTTAGTAATTTGGCTTTAGGGTATAAGTTTTGGGCACTTACACCCAAGGCAGCTCGATTTGCTTCACATGTCTTTCTACGCTGACCTTCACTTTTCCTGACAGCTTTAACTCGTCGTCATACTTGGGTCCTGAACGCAGCGCCGAGGAGTAAACAAATGCCGAGACGCCATATTCTAGAGCAACATCTGCGAGTAACTAAGAAATATCAGTCAAGAGACAAACACGTATTCCAGAAGCGACGGAGAACAAAAAGCAAAAGAATCAGAATGTTGAATCAGTACCTTCCCCTGTGTCTCTTCCCCATCTGCATTCTTCCCTAGTCCCGGGAAGGCGAGCACCATAAACACACCCCAGATGCCGCCCCCTTCACCCTTGTTTGCGTCCTCAAAGATGCGGGTGACAGAGGCGCGATCATTTAGATCACCCTCGACTACGCTGACATGCTCTTCTCGAGACAAGTGGTCGGCTGACGGACTGAATTTGCTCCGCGTCAGCGCGAGGACGTGATACTCTGCTGCGGTGTTGGTGGCTTCGCTTGGTCGCAAGGCTGCGATTAGGGATGCGCCTTGTTGACCGGTCGCACCTGTGACGAGGATAGCTTTTGGCATTGTCAATATGCAGTTAGAATGGGATATGTGGAGGTGGGAAGCAGGCGGAGTGATGTCAGTGTCGCAATGACACGATATGGGCGGTAAACCTGAAAATGTGATGGGATGATTGTCGTTTTGGTCTTGGCAAGATCTATACATCAGGAGTTACGGAGTAGTGGCGTAGCTAAACATCAGCCTAGGAGTTGTTGTTAGAAAACTGTAATGCTAAGGAACAAGGAGTTCGATCAAATGTTGGTGGCAGAAGACCACCCAATGAGCCATTTGCCGCCTGAGGCCTCGACATGGCCGTCAAGCCTACAGCCGTAAGCGGACCGCTCAGTTTTCGACCGGGGGGGGCCTTGTGTTGTGTGCAAGTACCGACGATTTTAAATTAATTCCTGCAACTCCAATATAAGTCGGAGCGGTGTGAAAAATTGGTATAGTTCCTCCCTGGCTACCGCTAATCACATAATAATAATTTGGATCGGTTTCGATCACTCTACATGGAGCGCGACCTCCGGAAGTGGTTTGAGCGATGTACAACCACACTGAGGGTTGCACTATCTCGAACTGGTCGAGTGAGTTGGGTCACGTGATATTCGTGGTGGGTGTGATCTAGTTGTTAGTGCCTCAGGCTCTAATATTGGCTGGGCGGTGACGTATGTATCTATTGCTCTTCGACTACACACGCCTCCATTGACACAAATTGTGCGAGAAAATGAATAAAAGTTGAATTGGAAAATTATTACTCTCTATTACCCAAATCGGATCTTTAAGTCAGAGCTACTTTGCTCACGACCGCCCACATAGCCGCAGTGGCACCACACAGGGAGAATTGAAGTAAATAGTATACAAGAACCATCAAGCTGTTTCGTCCCTAGAATTCACCATGGAACGCAAATCCGAGGACAGCAAACAGAGAGAGCAGACCGTTGGAAGTCATCAACGAGCCTGCGTTACTCAGAGGAGGAGTCGAGGAGGAGGGAGAAGGGGACGACGACGGAAAGCCGGACGAAGAGGGCGGCAGCGAAGGCACAGTACCGTTACCACCCTGCTTGGGAACATCATATAGCTTGGCAAATCGCATCTCGTTCTTGCCAACGTCGTAGACTGACAGAATGCTCTTCAAGAACGAGGCACCGATGATCTGGATCGTGATGCCCTCAACGGCAACGTTCTGGGAGCTGGAGACAGCAGAAACACAGCCATCGCCGGTCTTATAGATGAGGTCTTCCGGCTCGTGGAAGAAGGTCTGGTTTCCGATCTTCAGGCCGAAGTGAGCAGGCTTCGCAGCACAGTTGACGCGGTACGCCTTTAATTTGGAGTCGAAGACCGCCGGGGGCGAGAAGCGCGAGTTTACCGCGTCCGCGACTTCCTGGGGCACATAAGAGAGCTCGTTACCGATGTCGAAAAACCCCTGAAAGCTGGTCGTGTTGCTTTCTAGGCTTTTACCGGAGCTGCCGTAAAAGGTTGCGCCGAACGTCGTGGCCCAGTAGGATCGAACCCGCTTGCCAGAGGTGAAACTCAATGGGACGACGTCGATGATCTCGACGGGAACAACGGCAAACTGGGAGCTGTGCTTGACTGGTGGGAGTCCGCCAATGGTCAGGTAGCCACCGAACCCAATGGAGGTATTGCGTGGTGTTCGTGCCAGGGCGATGCTGAAATACGAATCGGTCAGGCCCTGCTTCCATGCGCTGAACAGTAGCGGGTCGTAGGGAAGGCGATTATAGTAGAATGTCGTGTTGTCATTCTTGTCCTCTGGGTGAGCTGAGGTGATTGATGGATATGCGAGACCCAGCAGTCCGCTGTTGACCCCATCGCCCATGGGGTGAGACACGTTGGCAATGGCCACTTTCTGGTTCTTCAAGGTGATGCCGTTGATTGCAACATCTTCGTACGCCATCACACCACTGGCAATACCCGCTCCATATTGGATCCCGAATATCTCGCCGGGGATTTCGCGGTAGGTGCTGGATTCATGGTAGGTATGGTTGGCATACTGACACTCGGTTTGTGAGACAGTGAGATTGGTCTTCGGATTAATACAGGTGAAACCATCGCGCATGACATAAGTGTCGCTGCTGCCAGTATCAACCAACATCTGGAAGGTTTGACCACCAATTGTCACCGGAGCATCGAAAACACTGCCGAACTCGGTGGCTGTGATCCTGGATGTGGCATCAGACGATCGAACCCTCAGGGGCAATGTGTGCGCCCCGACGAGAGACAGTCCGCCCACGGTATAAAGAAATTGAAAGGATTTCATGATGGATGGGTGGAGGAGATGAGAGAAGCTGATGCATCGTCAAGGTATGTACTTTGAGCTGGCGTTTATATGTCTTTTGCGACCACCTCGTTTATTTTAGTTTTTTGTATAAGCCTTGTGTTGTTTGACAGCGACATTTTCCAGGAGTTCTAACTCGACCAAAATGTTAATTTTATCTGGCAACCTATCCTAAATCCTTCTGCCATCTCAATTGCCTTGTGGTGGATGACGCAAGAATCGAAAAATTAACTACTATGAACAACTATGACTTGGACACAGCCTCGCTGTGTGCAGCCCGCTTTGCCCCAGTCTCGTATATTTTAGTGCCCGTTTAGCGCCATCCGAGCCGGCATTCCTTTGGACTAGCGACACCCGGGATAACATCACTTAGGCTTGGCATATAGGGCTTCCTTATGCAGTTAGTATTCTAACCGCCCGACGAGGGTGAAACCCAACAGGATTGTATTGGGGGGCAGATTTCCCTGCGCCAGGCCCATACTAAGAAATTTGATCGGCGTCCATGTTTCCTATTCGACCCCGGGTCTTATTCAATCTGATCCTACGCATTGATGTTTCCAAAGTGAGCTACTAATGGCGTGCTACGTCATTTCATTAAGAGAAACGGAGGAGCCTCGTATACTTCAGCGTTGTTACCCGTGTGTGGCGGTTTGATCGCATTACTTAATCTAAATTCGACCCATGACGCTATCTATACCGTAGCCCTTTAGTAGCCGGCTTCCACAACTCCGGCCGGATACTGCTCATCGTCGAACCTCTCCACTTCAACAGAGTGTGGCAGTAATAGGACTGTAGCTTTTGACTACCGATACTACCTTAAAACCCCTGTTCCGAAGGGACAGCCATCTCAATCTTCATCAAACTCCGCATAAAGCCATGGATCCTCGAGTAATTCCTTCGCAGTAGTTCGCTCGTCTGGATTCCACTTTATCATCCTTCTTACGAACTCAACGAACATACTCTTATTCTCATTGTAGGTGTTGTATATTGATTTTTCAAAGTTGAAATTCGATGGCGCAATAGCTGTTCCTTTGAATTGCCCTATTGAATTCAGTCAGTAAAAACACATGAAATTAGACGAAAACAAACAATCAGTTACCATCGGGTTTGTATAAGAGATGGGTCCTGGATCCTTTCTCTAGGAGCTTCCTTGGAGGGGATCCTAACAACGCCGAGATACGGCCAAGACGGTTAAATTCGTCATATCCTTGAACTTGAAGGGGATCAACCTCCTTGAATGGCTTTTTGCCCTCAAGAAGATCCCATAACTAACAAAATAGTGTTAGCTCTCATATGGCAACGATACGGATATAAACATACCATGACTCCTAAGCTCCAGATATCGGCACTGTACGAATAGCCTGCATCCAGAATAACCTCTGGGGCCCGGTATATTTCCGCCTGGATACACCCAGTGTTTGGCCTATCCCCACGGACGGATAAATCGAAGTCAGTCAGCTGGATTATTCCTGTGGTTTTTTCTGAGATGCCAAAATTGTTCCGAGAAAGGTAAATCGTGCGGCCATCTGAGCAATCCTTCTGTGGTAGAGGATGCTCCTATTCATCTCTGGCCGACTCCTCCAAGATAGATTGATCCTCAACTTTGATCATTACGTTATCGGGATGCAAATTTGGAAGAGATAAGGTCACACAATGGGTTTGATTAAATCAGGAACCAAAAACGAACCAGTGTGAATAACATGACACTCTGAGTGGAGATAGTCAAGTCCATGCAGTAACCATTTGATGTAATATCTTCAGTACGTCTGAGGGTATCACATCACCGATAATACTTGTACGGTATATTAAAGGGGCTCTCAAAATGGTTCAAAGACAAAACTGAGATGCTTCGCCATCCCATTCTCAAGGGTGAATGAATCTAGAGGACGCCTGACGAATTCCCAGCCCTTGTGCCGGGGATTTGCCTCAGAGATGAGTTTGAGGATTTCCAGTTCTGATTGAGCAGCGTTCTCTCGAGAATGATGAGCACTGGCATTTATTTTGTGAGCAAATTATTTTTCTCTTAGCCATCGCCATCTTGATCAAGGATTAGTAGATGCTATGGAGTACTCGGGACGCGTGGGGAGGCCGTGGGGGTAGTGGGGAACCGACTGGTTTAGGTCTCGAGCGAGCCAGATGGTTGAGCTGCTACCATAACCGAGTTTAGTGGTGAGTTGATATCAGTCATTCAGAACGTCTCCCAAATTTGCGGGATAGAAACGCGCATGCTCCTAATATGGCGTACGTTCCTCTTCGACCGCCTTGCCCACCGGAAGTTTGGGAGTTGATGGTGGCCACGGGCCATGTTTAAGCACCCAGGCCGGAGACATAACTCGGGATTTGAAAGCTGGCATGGATGTTCTCATATTGGGTTTGGAGGAATAGTATAGATGTGAATACCCGGGGACGACTCACAGTGTGAGTCTAGAAACCATCAAGGGGGAGAAGATTGATCGCTCGTCCTAGTTAGTTATCGGGAAACAAGTGGTTGGGAGGCTTGGCATGTAATCATCCCATCTACGTCTCAACTCTTATTGTACTCAATGCGGACGTCGGTGCGCATGATGTATCAATATGTCAAAAATACGTTTTGGGCCATTTTGGGGTCTGTCGCCTGGTCAATCGGCGTTGCTGAAGCTCCGGATAATGGTTTTCATACGGAGTTCTGAAGAAGATTTGTTATGATTTGCCTGGAGACCTGAACCCAACAGTGCCTGAAACGACTAGCCCACCATCTTATGTTGAAATTCTTTGTTTGGAATATTCGGGTGCAGAAAAGAAGTACACAAGAACATTCTCTTCAACAGTCTTGAAGAAAGTTTGAACAGGGAGCTCTATGGTCGCAAAATATTTTAATTCTTGAAAAGCAGTTTAATCGATATTTAGAAGTTATTCAAACGCAAATTTTTGGTTTTCGAGTGGCAGTGGTGGAGATAACAAGGTAATGGTCATGACAGCTACTTACTCCGGAGTGGTGGTGTTTTTTGGTTTATTTTGAAGCTTCAATTGATACACTGAATTGACGAATTTGGTAAAAATCTTGTTTTTCATTTGATTACTTATTTGCTTTTTGAGCTACTGAGTGAGCTTTTCAAGATGAATCTATTGCCTTGAACCACTATCTTGATGCTGGGTCTAACACGACTACCAAGACAGACTTGTCGCTATCTAGCAATGAGTTCGTGACGAGGTGCGATACATGAACGACATGGAAGACGGGCTAGGGAACGGAGTCGCAAATGATCGACAATTAGGCCCAAAATCTTGCCAATGCAAGCTGCCGAGCAATAATAAACATGACAGCCACAACCAATTTTTGGGCTACATTCTGCCAAACGCCGAGTCCAACCAATGGAATTAGGATGGTAACTGTCTCTGAGATATTTGGCTCGCATCAAACCTGGAAAGGCTTCCAGCCATGGCGCCATTTTGGATTTCTCGGGCTAATGAACCTATAGGATCCAACGTAAAGAAAGGGCATCGGATGTGAACTTTGGATAGCTGCGAAAAAGAACTTCCCCACCAAGGTCTATATGACAAGCCTAGATGTGACAATGCGTCATTGACATTGCGTTCGACCTATGGGAATGTCACATTTGGGTCCGTTCCACGGAATGTTAGTCTCGGTGCCGCATCCGTACCCACGGCTTATCCCTTGCTAACTTTCCTCGCAAAGTCTACTGTGCCGACACCCCTCGACAATCTTCAGGTCGAAATCTTCAAAGACGCCAGGGATTCCTCAAACACACCTAGCACTGCCCAACACTCATATTGCCCGGGAGAATGATCTCCCCATGCAGTTCCCCCACGAAGGCGGCACCACCGAGGCCCCCTGGAAAGACAGTGACGTTGGTGACCAGGTGCAGAAATATGTGATTTCTGTCTTCGCCGCCATAGCTTGGTGCAATGCGCTCGAGCTCATCGTCCTCTGCTTCAGCACCTTCAAGAGATATCGTGGTTGTTATTTCTGGAGTTTGTTGATCGCGTCGGCCAGCCTCATCCCACACTGTCTTGGCTACATATTCTACATCTTCCCTCTCGGTATTACACCTTATGTCTCAATTACTCTGATCATTTTAAGCTGGTGCGTGATGGTAACGGGACACTCACTCGTCCTGTGGTCGCGACTCAGTCTTGTCCTCCAAACGCAGAAAGTTCTTCGGGCAATTCTTGCTATGATCATCATCGACGCTATCATCCTACACATACCGACCATTGTCCTCATGTACGGATCTATCACACAAGAGCCATTTGCCAAAGGTTACGAGATCATGGAGAGAATTCAGCTTGTCTGGTTCTGTGTCCAGGAAGTCATCATCTCGGGGACATATGTCTGGGAAACGGCAAAGACCTTGCGAATTCGCCCTGAAAGCCACCATCATAAAATTCTCGCGCAACTTCTCATCACCAATGTTGTTATCCTCATCCTTGATGTCGCCGTTGTCGGAATAGAATACGCCGGATATTACGCACTCCAGGTTATGTTCAAGCCGGTGGCCTATAGCATCAAGTTCAAACTTGAATACGCGATACTGGGGCGGCTGATTCAGATTGCCAAAGGAGCTTGTTCCAACGATAGTCCTTTGTCCTATACGCCCCAAGAGTCGAGCTCGCACCGATCACATCGTGGACACTGGGGTAGTGGTGGCCAGGAGGACGCTATTGATCGGGAGATCCGGGCTTGCATGGAGACTGTGGAAACAACGGAGTGCCGTAGGCGATCGTCGGCCATCTGTTAATAGGTCAGAAACTCTACTTTATCACAGTTTTAGAGTCCAAAGAGGGAAATAGAATTATAATAGATTTCAGCCTTAACTCCTTGTTTGTTACCCTACGCCTGCGGTGTGGCTTGCTTATAACAAGCCTCTTTTAGTTATTCACCAAACAACGTTGATTTCACCCGAAAAACATTTTGTTAGTAGCAAGTTAAAGAGTGGACATATCTTTATCAGTGACATAGATTCAATAGTATACCCAGTCTAGTATCGCGTGTCACCTCTCGTTATAATTTCAGACCTTGAACGGGAGAGGCGGGTAATCGCTCACACACTGTCCCTTTCGAATACAGCAATCGCACTCATTCGTACAATGCCCGAAGACTCCCGTTTGCTCTTTCTGCTGGGCCCTTCCCTTGTATCGTTCATATGTTAACAAAGCCTTCTCGCAGCACCCACAATCTCGACGACAGCATCCCCCGGCATCGGCACATATCTCTCGCAGTACTGCCCAATACCAGGGGCGACCGCGCTCATCAGTATAAGAATTCCGGATGAAAAATTATTCTGCATTGCAGTCGTTAGGAATATCGACTTCCAGGAGGTAGAGCCTGTAGATATGATCCCTGTACTCCTGCCGAAGCTTAGTGATCTCTTTCTGTATCTCGGGTCGCTTTGTGATGTCCAGGACACGAGGTTGATAGTCCACCGTCGACGGCTTGAGTGCTTCATCATAGGTCGGCAGCGTGGTTTCCACCAGCGTGTTTGAGACATCAAGTGTTTCTGATAAGACTTTCATCAGGTGCTTCTCTCGCTGCAAAATTGCCCATCATTTTCTTCTTTCGCTCCAGAACGGGGTAATCCACTTGCTGGCAGGCCCATCTGCGTTAATGACCCCTCTCCAGCGATCCTGGCACTTTTGGACACCTGCCTCATAATTCATCTCAGCTTGGCTTTTGCCTGCGTTGGGGTCAGGCATCTTGGTAATTCTCTGCTTCTCTGGTTCTTGCTTTGCAATTCTCTGTGTCTCCAGTTCTTTCTTGGTGAAGAACATTGTTTGTAGCTAGGTTTCGTTGCCTTTCCTTTTGCAGGTTGTTCGAGGTATTTCGACAATAGATGACATGTGGCATGAGAGAGGGTGAAATTATTTTTGGAGGTTCTTATGACTCATGTGTCGATTAAGTATTGATGACGAAAGTATTTTGCACCATCCTGAGGCATGCTTCCGTAAACCTCATCCCAAATGTTAATTTTTCCGCTACTAAGGGTTCTAGAAACCTCTCCTTGCTTGTTTTAGAGATTTTCACTTTAAACCGACAAGAAATATATGAACTATTTCTAGGCATCATTTCGTCGATCCTCTACTAATCACTCTGCCCGCTCAAGCACATACTGCCACGCCCTCGGTGACACCCTAACCGCTCTTCCCTTCTCATCAACATCAAATACAAACTCGTCCATTCCAACTCCATTAAACTGCATCCCATCCACAGTCAACCACGTGAAGCACGAGCTCGTAAAAGGTCCAATACCAGGTGATTGCTTGGCCATGTCCTTAATAACAGCACGGAACGAGACCCGCGACTCCGTCTCCAGACCGGTAGGATACAACCGCACGCTGAGGTCTGCGGGACTCTCGGCTCCGGAGAATTTGCTCAATACCTCAAAAATCGGGATGTTTCCTTTCGTCCAGTTCGTGACTTTTAATCCCAGACCGTCGTCTGTGCTTATTGTTATCGTGGAATTGGTGTCTCTGACGACGTAGGTGCCGCTGAAGCGCTTGTCTGCAGCGCGTTGGGCAATTTGGTCTAGCGTCGGCAGGATGGCGGTTGCGACGTAGTCAGACAGGTAGGAAACTACTTCGTGGGTCCTTCCACCTGCGACGAGGATACTGAAGCCGACGCCGTGGTCCGGGGAGAGAGCGATCACGGAGGAATAGGCACCCATATCGCCGGATTTCGTATATAGGTCCACGACGCGAGCGTTCGGGAAGGAGAAAATCTCCCAGGGTGAACCGACAGCGTAGGATAGGGAGGAGGTATGGGAGACGGGCTTGAACCAACGTCTAGTGAGGGCGGGAGAGAGTAGGGTGTTGTTGAGAATGGCGCGGCCGACGGCGGAGAAGTCGTTTGTTGAGGAGAATAGGCCTCCAGCACTGCTGCTTCGTTAATCGACTTTGTCCAAGTTGAGGCGTTAGAGCTTACGGAGTATCTTCGCCAGCGTTGACACCCCAGAAGCTGGTCATTGTGTCTCCCGGGATGAGTCCATGCTTGGCATCTGGTGCACTGCAGCTCGAGTGTGTTAGGTTCAAAGGCTTGATCAGATGCCTCGTAAGAAGATTTTCATAGCTGGTATTGGTCATCTTCTCTAGTGCGTAGCCCAAAATCCGGAACGCTGCGTTGGAGTAGATGGGGGTCGCTCCGGTCGCCACAACCGGATGTTTCTTGAGCAGGCCTTTGAAGAAATCTACCCATGGTTAGTATCGATCCATAATGTATAAGGTACTTCACCACATACCATCTCTGTCACAGACAGGTGTGGCACCGCACGGAGGTAGTTCTTTCTCAGTAAACTTGGGCAGTCCGGCAACCTCGGGCTCCTTGAGCTGCAGGGCATAGTCGCCAAAGCCATCTAGTATAAAGTGAGTTAACAGCCACTATCGCGCTGAGATGCGCAGAGCTCACAGTGTCTGGAGATTCCAGATAAGTGGCTAGCCAACTCCCCGATGGTAACCTCTCCCCAGCGCACATGGTCCACTGTGTTCAGCTCCTGGATGGCATTCTCATGAATTTCATTCATCGCATCCTTTAGCTCTGGGATGTATTTTACCACAGGCTCAGAAAAGACAACATTACCCGTCTCTATCATAAGAAGTAACACAGTCCAGAGCTTGGATACACTGCCTATTCGGAAGACAGTGTTTCCATCGACCCTGTTGACCCCAAGACTGGCATTGCGGGCAGCGGTAGAAGTGTAGTATGATTCGAATAAGGGCGCGGGTTCATCGGCAGAGAAGATCTGTAAAGCCACCGAAGTATTTTCTGGATTGAAGAATGAGTTCATGGGTGTATTGCATTCAATGACAGGGTTCAGTGCGTCGTTGATATTCTTTGTCGCGGCGAGGAATGCAGGGTCTTTGGAGATATCCTTTGGGGCCGGGAACGCCGGACCCAAGGGTGGGCAATATTTATATGCGGTAGAAAGGCATGCAAGCCCCAAAAGGACGAGGGAGGCTAGATGCATTGTAACTGGATGTTATCTAATTCGCGCTACTCTAATCTTTTAGAAACTCTGTTTCTACTCATTGTCAGGGCTATGGAGGATGTTTTTATAGAGGTTTGTTGTATTCTAGGCAGTACCCTTCTTAACCACGTCAGCCAATGAAGGTTCATTAGTATCTAGAACCAATAATAATGATGATAATAATCCTACTCCGCGTGGTCACACGGCCATCCGTAATTTCGCGCACTATATAGGGCGGAAACCTTGAAAACGCCGTTATAGCTACTATCTGGGCCGAAAGTCCCTCCATCTTAAGTGGCACATGCATCGCTCTAAATACATATCGTAGCACCTGCTTCTCGGATAGGCATAGTTTAATATTAATTCGTTGTACATATTATACTCTATTGCCTTGGGTTGCCCCCTATTAATATTCAGTGGAGTGTAGGTTCCTGTGCCAGTTTAGGAATACATCTAGTCTAGCACCGTTAACTATTATCAATAGCTCTGTGCGATGATGGTAATTATCATATTCTTTCAAACTGATATAGCTACTCTATTGCAGGTAGTGTGCCCGCCTAGCACTGAAGCTTTTTAAACTTTACAATTTCTGATACATAAGATTTGTAAAGCCCGAAACCTCTATACAGGTGGAATTTTAATAAATCATTACAATTCATTCCTTCTAATGGCACGATTATTCTCTTAAATATAATTTACTATACAAGATATACATGCTAGATTATATCAAGACCTTTCCCCTCTTACTAATTATAGTAGATATGCCCTACCTGAGAAATCAACTTCCCCTAAGCTTTCTTCGTTGGATGACTCCGGGTAGAATAGGTGCCTACTACGAGACCCGTAGCCCCGGCTTCTACTAAAGAGGACCCCCTACCCCCTTAGTATAGACAGGACCCTTACCCGTAACGCTCTACCATTGCGCCACGGTAGGCTAGCTCTGTATGGAGCGAGACCGGAGCGGGGAACTGGCCAGCTCACATCCAGCTGGGTATCAAGCAGCATTTCGTGAGGTTGCCAACCGAGTGGAAACCGCGGCTGTAACCCCGCACATGTGGCCTTATCTAGAAGTGACTATAAAAGACAAATTAAAGCCGATAGAACGCCGTTGTCTCCATGGGCCAAGGGTCTTTTGTACGACGCAGCCAAGCAACATTCCGTCCCGTACTGCAGCCTCGTTGAATCATACATTAACGGGAGATTAGGGCTGTTTCCCCTTTCTGGCGCCCTGGTACCGTCTCCCAGGTTTCAGCTTTCTTTGTGATATCCAACTGGCTGTCTCATGAGTAGAGTTTCCGAAACTGCCAGCTTAAGGTGCGTATATTCCTCAGGCTCCCTGGTTGGCTTCGATCTACTTCTGCCCGATACTCCGCATTCCCGAGGCGCAGGCCAAATCAACATCTAGCCCATATTATACTGTCTAAATCAGTTTTCTTGCTCTGTCAAACACAATATCACCTACTCATGACAGATCTAGATCATACCGTTTTTCCCACCGCCAGATGGGCTGTCACAATCCGGAGTAGCGTGTAGGTGCTCGACATATGGATTAAATTATTTAATTGCGCCACAGATTTTACTACCAATTACGACTCACCTCGTTCCATGTCATTGCATCAGCGTTACTCTTGGCATTGCTATCGATTTGACACCAGGAACTTCGGCTCGTTCCGATCAAGAATGGTAACCTGGGCCGGTGCATTACTACGATCTTGCCAAGGACAGGTTGATCTCTAGTGTTCTTTGCGGAGATTCCCTTATTTCAATGATGCTAGTCTCTGCTCTACCAACGCCTTCTCGCCCTTCGCCACTTTTCTTCTAGCTTTCTCTTTCTTTTTTATCTTGATGTATCTCTTGTAGGTGTCCTTGAGACCGCTTGCACCGCATTGGTCAAAGGTGATGAAAATGAATGAATGAAAGGAGGATTTCTTGATCACTACTGAATTCATAAATGTATTTATTGATTTTCTGATTGATATAGATCCAATTACGGTCTTTCACGGTATTGCCTATCTAAAATTGCCCAAGCAGGTGTAAGCAAACAGCGCAATACCTCGCAGATTGGTTCAGACATAACACCAACCCACCGCCCTAAGCTAGCAACCATAGGGCTATACAGCCTTGTGGTATAGACTTTTCTTTCCTATCTCCGCTTACTCTCGAAAGCATTCTACATCCTCAGCGGGGATCTCAGAGTTTCCGTCTTTTATATTACGAATCATCGATTCAACCCGAAGACCTCTCGCTCTCATTTTGAATTGTATAGCTTCCCTCCCACTAGATAAAACAGGTAGGGTCTAACTCTCAATCTTAATAGCGGCTTCACAAAGTACTCAGTAAAATTGCTCGATACTTTAATAAGCGAGATGAAGGCAGGCAATAAGATCTAAATAGCTTCAAAACTGCTCTAGAGAGAAAGAAAGAGACCACCGCCGCAATGCCTTAAGGCTCCGTGATCATATCCCATAAGTATTCTAGGAGCCGCTTGTACCGCAGTAATCAAGGATAATAAAAATAGATAAATAATACTATCCTACTCAATACTTAATTAATTGATCAACTGATTAATGTACGGATAGGAAGAAACGGAGGGGTAAACCAACGGCGACATGCTTGACAGATTGCCTCAGAGATCTAAGCGCCTCTTTCTCTCTCTCATCTCTGTCCTTTTTTTTTTTCTCCCTTTCGTTGTTGTGTTATTATCACCCCAGGGTTCTGGTTTGTTGTCCTGAATGTGGGTTCCAGCCTTTCCCGCGCGAAATATATAGTTTTCCTGCTTCAACAAGAACGCATCAAAACGAGAGACTTGGGGAATGTGGTAGGTACATTAGTGTCATATGTACGATGCAATGTGCTGTAAAAGACACAAAAAGTACCAACTGACCACCCAGTTGCTGGCGTTAGAGTCCACGCTCGACTAGGAGATTAGTGCCTGAGGCACCCGCATGAGTCATGCAGTGTGCGGCCTGAGGCAGACACAAGATCACGTGCCCCGACCGCCTCCGCGGCCGGAGGGAGACGAGCGACGGAAGCAGCAAGACGGCATTCCTGATTCCACGATCCTGGCCTGACCTGTACCGAGCCAAGCACCGGTGGCGGCTGACGATTCGATGAACCGACTAATGTTGGGATCGTACCTCTCAGGGCGAAAGTCAATTTGCTCCGACTTTCAGGCTAAGAGCTCAAGCGGCGTTCGGTGAGCCGCTGACACCCGATGTTTCCCCCGGTCGCGTTCATTTTTTTTGAAGCCGTTTATCTTGCTAATTGGGCTGTCTAACGCAGTCCAGTAAGGGGACGGAGCAGAGGAGAAGCGAAGACAGGACTTTCACATGTCAATTGTCGCCACAAGGTCGGAAGAATCCGCCCCCAACAAAAAGCGAGTCCGAACTCCACTGCGCTGTGGAGATACCGGGGCAGGGTTCGATATTGAATGCGACCAGTCCGCGAGCCACGCTTTCACTGGCCACGCGTTGCGACATCTCGGGGGTTTGCTAACTGAGTCCGGAATCATTGGACTGGAATGGGTGGGATTTGATAACCCAATCCAGCAACGCTGCCCCTGCCAACCGCTGGTTGAGGCCGATACTAGACTCAAGCCGGGTCCAATCTCTCTCGCCTCTCCAGTTTCACCCCACTGTCGACGGAGGACAATGGACGGAGCTGCTCTTCCAAGTTCTGGGTCTTTCTGGAACCACATTTCAGCATTGTACACAGTAGGCAAGAATGGGTCTGTCAATGGGTGGTGGTCTGTCTGCCACCGCCGTCATGCCGTTTGCTTGGGCTCCGGTCGAGAATCTCGTGTCGTGGCAGTCGGTGAGTCTATTTTACCTTTCTTTTTTTCTGCCTTGCTGCTGTTGTTCATTCACCGCTGGCGAGGGATTATTATCCTCGTTTCTGACGCTTCACTCGTTTCCTGTCTCTAGCACCGTTGTACACCGGAGTAGACCTCGAATCCCTTTCGCACCTACCTTAATTCCTTAATTTGGGAGTTCCCAAGCCGATTGCGATCCTCCTCCCCTCCTCCCTTTTGCCACGACATCTTTGTTCTCTCCGTGTAACCAGACAATGTCGATAATCGACACCACCAAAGATCTGTCGGCGCTGTTCACGCGACAAGCAATTACCACCACCGATGCCGTCGCTCTAGAAGACAATTCCACAGTCTACACATATGCCGAGCTAGATCGCGAGGTCGAGGCTTTGGCCCGTCGCCTGCGGGCTTACGGAGTTGGTCGAGACCGGTTGGTGGGCGTGCTGTTGCCGCGAACTGCTCACTACGTGATTGCGTGCTTGGCCGCTCTCCGTGCCGGCGGGGCCTTCCTCGTGCTCGAGCTGGCTTATCCCCCAGACCTTCTTACTGAGGTTATTGCCGATGGCAACCCTTCCGTCGTGATCACCTACCGTGCGGAGGCCGGCAAGATCCAAAGCAGCGCTCCGCTGATCGTGCTGGACGAACCGCCGACCGATAGCAATGGACACACCCAAGAAGCGCCTCCCCTACCGGCCGACGATGATTTGGACCGACTCGCTTTCGTCTCCTACTCTTCCGGAACTACTGGCAAACCCAAAGGCATCGCCAACCCCCACAAGGCCGCCGTGCTTTCATATAACTTGAGATTCGGAATACAAGATCTTCAACCGGGCGATCGGGTCGCCTGTAATGTCTTCTTTATCTGGGAGATCCTGCGCCCGCTGCTGCGGGGTGCGACCGTCGTGGCTGTGCCGGACGAAGCCAGCTACGATCCGGCCGCGCTCGTCGATTTGCTCGCCTCCAAGAAGATCACCGAAACACTCATGACCCCTACCCTATTGGCGACCGTCCTGTCCCGTCATCCGCACATCCGAGAGCGCCTTCCTCACCTGCGCACCCTGTGGTTCAATGGCGAGGTGGTGACAACAGATCTAGCCCGTCGCGCCATTCAATCGCTGCCCAACACGCGTCTGCTCAATTGCTACAGTGCATGCGAGACCCATGAGATCGCCTGCGGAGACATTCGGGAAATGTTCGACGAGGAATCCCTGTACTGCCCCGTCGGCCCCCCGCTTGACCGCAAAAACACTCACATTCTCGACGAGAGGGGCCAAAAAGTGGACGTTGGTGTGAGCGGCGAGCTCTTTGTGGCAGGTCCCCTGCTGGCTCGGGGATACCTGAACCTCCCGGAGACGACAGCCAAGGCGTTCACTTCCAATCCCTTCGATTCCCTGTCAGACTCGCGGCTGTACAAGACTGGCGACCTGGCACGCATGCTCCCCTCGGGATACCTCGAGATCACCGGTCGCGTCGGCGCCATGATTAAATTGCGCGGATACTCGGTCGTGCCAGCCAAGGTGGAAAGCGATATCGTCAAGAATCTCGCGGTTCGCCATTGTGCCGTGACTGCCCACGGGGAGGGACTGGAGCGACAGTTGGTGGCGTACATCGTGCCCGACACGGAGGATCCTGCCGGTCGGCCCGCGGTGGAGATCAACGAGTCTGGCCACAGTCCCGCGGCGCGCCGCACGCTGGCCCCGTTCCTGGCGCACTACATGATCCCAGCGTTGTGGGTTCAACTGAAGGATCTGCCGACTCACGAGGTCACTGGCAAGGTCGATCTCTCGCGTCTTCCCTCTCCCCGCAGCGACCACGCCAACGGCAATGGCCATATGGACAAGGACCCGGTCAACATTGACCAAGTCGCTGCGATCTGGGCGGCCGCCCTGAAAACTTCCAAGAACCTGCTGAAGGCCGAAGACAATTTCTTCGATCTGGGTGGGCACTCTCTGTCGCTGGCGGATTTGTCGTCCCGACTATCTCGCCATTTCGGTTTCCGCGTGCCCATCGCCCGTCTTGCGGAGAACTCCACCCTGAAGGGTCATTTGGAGACTGTGCGTGCCATCCGCGACGGACATACGGAGGCAGTCCAGGCAGACCTGCCGGCTGTCCTGCGCGCAGATGCCACTCTCGACGAGGATATCCGTCCGTCAAACGCCGCAATTTGCTCTGTCGACAAGGCCGAAACCGTTCTGCTGACGGGTGTGACCGGCTTCTTGGGTGCCTTCCTTCTTAATGATCTAATTGAAAACACTTCCGCCCACATAATCTGTATGGTCCGGTTTAACGAACCGGCTGACGATGACCAGCCCGGCGGTGTTGCCCGGGTTCGAAGAAACCTGCTGGATCTAGGACTCTGGAATGATGCGATGATGGAGCGGGTGGAGATCATGCCCGGAAACCTGTCTCGAACTCGCTTTGGACTTTCGCAGGAGGCGTTCGATGAGCTGGCTGGCCGCGTCCAGGTCATTGTGCATGCTGCGGCCACCGTCAACCTGGTGTATCCTTACGCTGCGCTGCGCGGCCCCAACGTCGGAGGAACCCGAGAGATCCTGCGCCTAGCTTCCAAGGGCGGCGCCACGGTGCAGTATATCTCGACGAACGGAGTGCTGCCTCCGTCCAAGGCGAAGGGATGGCCCGAGGATGCGACGCTGGACGTGAAGGACGTGCCCGACAAGCTGTTGGATGGCTACGGACAAACCAAGTGGGTGGCCGAGCAGCTGGTTCTCGAGGCCGGTCGTCGCGGACTTCCGGTCAAGATCCATCGCGCGGGTACCATCAGCGGCCACAGCCGAACGGGTGCCACCAATGCCTGGGATCTGTTGTCTGCGCTGATTGTTGAATCCATCAAGCTTGGTTATGCTCCCGACGTGGATGGCTGGCGCGCCGAGATGACACCGGTTGACTTCGTCAGCAAAGCTATCATTCACTTGTCCACCCAGACTCACGCGGAGCAAACAATCTTCCACCTTGGCGATCCTGATCCGGTCGACACGCGATCGGTCTTTGACGCGCTCAACGAACTAGGCTACCCGACCAAGCGCCTTGGATGGGATGACTGGGTGTCCGTATGGACGAAGAACCGCTCTGCCGTGAAAGGCGGTGACGGTGGATTCACGGTCGATATTCTGCGCAGTGGTATGCCGACCGTCGATTTTCTCCAGGGAATTGTCGTGCTTGACAACTCCGCGACCCGACCCTTCCGTGCGGTGGTGGAACGTCCCAAGGTGGACCGCGCGTTGCTGGAGACCTACACTCGTCACTGGTTCGCTAGAGGATGGTTGCCTCATGCACCGATCCGTCACGATAGCCTCGCTAAATCACCCGGAGCATCCAAGGGACCTCTCAGCGGCCGCGTAGCCGTCGTCACCGGAGCTTCGTCCGGAATCGGCGCTGCGGTGGCCACCGCTCTTGTTAAAGAAGGCTGTCACGTCGCGTTGGCCGCCCGTCGCCTCGATGCGCTGGAGGCCGTCCGTGCGAAATTTGTTTCCGGCGGCGGCAAGGTCATAATCCGCAAGACGGACGTCACGAAGCAAACCGACGTCCAGTCCCTGCTCAAGGACGCGGCTGAGGAGCTTGGCCCCGTCGACATCCTCGTCTCCTGTGCCGGCGTCATGTACTTCACTATGATGGCCAACTCCCAGACCGAGGAATGGGAGCGCACCGTCGATGTCAACTGCAAGGGTCTCTTGCATTGCTTGTCCTCTACCGTCCCCGGTATGCTTTCTCGCGGCGCCGGCCACATCGTCGCCATCTCTTCCGACGCTGGCCGTAAGGTCTTCCCCGGCCTGGGTGTCTATTCGGCCAGTAAATTCTTCGTCGAAGCCACGCTGCAGTCTCTGCGTCTTGAGACGGCAGGCACCGGTCTCCGCGTGACAAGCATCCAACCGGGCAACACGGCCACTGACCTTCTCGGCATGTCAACGGATGAAGAGGCGGTTAAGAAGTTCGGGGAGCCCTCGGGCGCGAAGATCCTGGATCCGGAGGATGTTGCGCGCTCGATCGTTTATGCGCTGCGCCAGCCTGAACATGTTTCTGTTAATGAGGTTCTTATTGAACCGAGAGATGAGCCGATCTAAGCTAGGAAAAAATATGGTAATAGGTTAGTTGGTAATTTGGGTTTTTATTGTGAGATAGATTATGATACGATAATGCATTTCCGGTTTATTCACTGTTGGCTTCGTTCATTACTTAGAATGCTGTAAAGAGATATGTAAACACGTAAGTGAAATGACACAATTACGCCGTCGAATGCGTTCCCGACCCTTCCATTCTCACTATCAAAAAACCCCGAAATTCAGCCGATCGCTCAATCCTCCCCACCAACTTGCATCACTCCAGTCAGCCCCCGGATCCGTTCCCAAATCCCCATCCTCTTCCGCCCAAGTTTCTACTCCGTCCGAATACACATTTGAAAGAACCCAATTCGGCAATAACGAGCGACATCGCCCTTCCGTAATCCCTGCTTCATCGAATGTAGACGACGAGTAGCCGAAGCATGGCAATTCAAGGGCTGAGCGGAGGTATGTTTGTAGCTCGTAGGTTTCCGGAGAGAAGGGGCGAAGTCTTAGGGTGTAGTGGGCTGTTGAGGTTAAGGTGGATATGGGAGGAGATAGGGAGGTGGAGATTGAGGTGGTTAGTGATTCTGGAGATGGATTATTTGTGTCACTCATTGAAGGATCAGATGTAGAGATAGCGAGACGGGTGACCATATTATTTAAAAGCAGAACCAAAGCTGTCGATTCGGCAACGAGAAACGAGAACTCGTTCGTTGGGAATGTCCTTGGGTCGGGGGTATAAGTGGAGTTCCTGTCTCCGACGGAGCAGTGTGAAGTAGCTTTGGATCTGTGACTGGGCGAGGAAATGAGAAATTCAGGATGTTCAGATCTCAGCCATTCAGTTCGCCAGTTCATGAGATCTTCGTAGAGTTGTTGGCAGCGCCATGTTAGATTGAAACCCTCTTCCACGTGGGGAAGCTGGCATGCAGTCGTTGAGGGAAGCCGACTGTAGATGGATGCGAGTTTCGCTGCGATGTCGTATAATTTATCTCGATGGGCCTTTTTGATCTCTTTCCAGGGAACTGTCATCCATTCCTCCTGTGAGAGGAACGAACTTTGGCTGGTCGAGAGAAGATAAAGAATCTGGCGTTTCTCGTCAGCTTTGTTATCCCTTGGACAGCAGCTCAGGGGAAAGACGGAGAAGGGTGAATACCGCCATCTCCCTCAGCTTCCTAAACGCCTCATGTAATGCCCCATTTTGAAACGACCCCGGGCCCTGCCTCTCCATCAACGCCAACGCGCCTTTCAAGTGACCAGCCCAGCCGGAGTCATAGATCTGTGTTGGCCGTTGCTGCACGGCTTCGAACAGCGTAAACACAAGGGAGATAACAACCAGGACGGTCTTTGACTTTGCCATCGAAGGTTTGTCTTGCAACAATCGTCTGAATATCTGGATACTAGTGTTATACGCACTCAGGCTGAACACTTGATAATTGTTGTCCCTGTGCTCGGGAGACAGTGATAGTCGCATCGTCGCTAGCGCGATGAGCGCCAGATCTAACGCTCGGTTCTGCAGCCCCGCCGAGGAGATCCCCGAGGACCAGACATCCGGAGTGCATGCGTATACCGAATGGAAGTTGCCCCATAGCGTGATGAAATGAGAGCGGAATTCCCCCGCTGACAAGTCCAGTGTGCTTAGCGACAGAGGAAAAGTCGGGTCCGAGCGGATGGTTGGGAAGGTTAGATCTTGGCGTTTGCTTGTGGAGATGGCTTTGCTGATGAGTGGCTTCATGGGGGCCTTTAGGTTGCTCGAGTCTAGGTTAATGAAGACTTGGTTGCGCTCATTGTCGTAGCCTAGACATTTGCGGCCAGCGAGCTGGCATGTTTTACAGTGCGGGTGGGCTTTGTCGCACTGGAAGAATTAGTGACTGTTCAAGAAGGGCGAGGCAGGAGATGCGTACGGCTTTCTTGCGGGACCGGCACGTGCGACAGGGTCGTGACATTGTTAGCCCTAGTTTGGTAGAAACCGTGAATATTCAGGTTGATGTTGAATACAGTCGTCCTCTTGACCTTATCCTGAATCACTCGATGCCTAGACTCGAGCTTAGACAAGCACTAACCTGCTTTAGTATATCGGGCCGTCGGAGTCATTAGTGCAACGCCCAATGCTTGGGGATACGAGGTCATTGGCCAATTGGTTGTATTGGCGTTACTTTCCAGGATAGTTCATTCTGACGCCTGTGTCTATTCCGATTGAGGAAATTGGGAAGGTAATTCCTACAGATGATCCGCTCCTGTTATACAGTACAACCGTCGTGCCATATAGCGGATTGTGGACGGCATCCGCAATATAAAAGTCGAGATTCTCCCGCGGTCATACAAGTCATAGGTCTTCCTTCTCCCAACACGAAAGTCTTTTCACGCTGTAACTCAAATACATCTCTCATAATGTCAGCCTCTGCCTATCCTACCCGTACCTTCGCCGGGGTCACTCTTATTGACACCCCCCTCGTCCAAAAAGCCATGGAGTACACCCGTCATCATAACGACACTTTCTCGTTCAACCATACGTACCGCTCCTGGGTCTTCGGCGTCATCATCGCCTCGAAAATACCAGCTTTTGCCGCCATCGACCCTGAAGTCCATGCCGTCTCCGCCCTTCTGCACGATCTCGCTTGGGATTGCACCACCAGCCCCTTCGCCACGCCAGACAAGCGATTCGAAGTCGATAGCGCTAACGCCGCGCGAGACTTCCTTGACCGAGAAGCCTCCCACTTCGACGCTCGCCGCCGCCAACTCATCTGGGATAGTATCGCGCTGCACGCGACGCCTAGCATTGCGCATCATAAAGAGCCTGAGGTCGCGATCTGTAATATGGGCATTTTTGCGGATTTTAAGGGCCCGCAGTTCCCTGGGGGGTTGATTTCTAAAGAGGAGTACAATACCGTGGTGCAGGAATTGCCAGCAGATGGGTTCCAAGAGGGGGTTAGAAAGCTGATGTGTGGGCTATGTGAGAAAAAGCCGGAGACAACCTACGATAATTTCGTGCGGGACTTTGGCGAGAGATTCGTCCCGGGGTATACTTTGGGGAGTAGCAATGCGGTGGAAATGTTAATGGAGAAGATTGAATAGTAATAGGATAGAGTATTATTTTCAATGGTTTACCAGATATGTTTAAGTACGTTGATTTCTTAGCTGACTGGCAATGCTTGATGGGGTCATCAGTTCTTCTAAGTAATCCAATGCTCCTGGACTTTCTAACCATGGTCCACGAAGAAGGAACTTGGTCCAGTTGTCCCAAATGCACGTCTCTCCCTGAATCAATCTCGATGCTATACAGTTGCAGGTGGGGACTCCAGGAAGGCAGCCGCGGAGAATGTAATACCAGGTGTCACCGCATTCATCTTGTGTCCTCTTGAACAAATATCTAATGTGCCGTTGCAGGCGGAGAATGTTTAGCTGATGGTCGCGATAGGCGAGGTCTTGCTTCTTCGCTATGATGTCGGTGTAAGGAACATACGACAGGACGATTGCCAGCAGCTCCTGCGGAAGGTTCCTGCCGACTGGATGTCGCGCCTCATTAACAGCCTGCAGATCCAGGAACATTCTAATTTTGATCAATGTGGCCAGAACGGTAAACTGGCGCCCGTTGTATTCGAAAAGTGCGTGCATCTCGTCTAACGGACCGATTTTCCCGCTGTTACACCATATTCCTTCATGTTTGCTCACTGAAGTTGAGTACTTAAGGATCCAGTCCCTCATCACAACCCATGCATCCGAGTCTTTGTTTATTCGGATCAACATTGCCGGCAGTTTGGCATCAGTCCACGGACGGGCGTATTTAGCCCATATCATGAGATATGTGGCCTCCTCTTCAAGCGCCTGTCGAGTGAGTGCGGATTCCAATCTGCGTGTGTATTCCTCAAATGAATTCCAGTAGGATATATGAGGATTTGGAAAAATGTTGAGTTTCTCCAAGGGCCATCTCGTCGGGTCAACATCTGGTCCAAGCAGGTCCTGAAGCACCTTCAGTTTAGTTTCTTTTTCTCTTCGTGCCGTGGTGATTGATTGACAGTACATAGCTTCGTCGTCTTCATTGTGTTTGGCTTTATGCTCTGGGCAGTACCCGGTCACCTTACACGACGGACAGAATTGTAAGTCCTGTATACGGTTGCATTTGTAGCATCCTGATGTAAGTATCCAGGGCTTATGTCGATAGACCATAATTGTTTGCGTTTATCACTGAACAGCAGAAGTTTATAATTAGAGTTGCAATCGATGTGTATATTTATAATGTGGCCGCGCAGGGATATGATGGAAATTTCCATCAATTGTGCGAGGGATATCTGACATTACCCGGGAATCCAATTCTGGTAGCGACCCTTGGTTGGTGGTACTTTGATAGACACTCTCTATGACTACTTGTCCCATAGTATGTTTGCTTTGCTTACTGATATACATTAATTTATTGTATAGATGGACATTAACGTAGTTTTTTACAGATTGTCTGAGAGGACTTGTTGCTTCCGAACTGGGTTTCTACATGCCGAAAACGCTACAAAATATGCCATAGAGAGGGGGAAATAATCATGATCAATAATGATCTGGCAAAATTAAATTGATGGGGTAGCGCTAGGAAAGATAGAGTGAGCGAAAGAATTGAGACTTGTAATGAAATGAAACTACGTTCCGTCAACTTATGCACCTGGTAGAGTCTCATAACCGCAGACAGATTCATCTGGGGAAAGGTCTGAGATGTACTTCAGAGCCCATGGGCTTGCATGCCAGAAGTCTACCGCGTAATGAGGGCCGCATCTGAACGTGGACAGGCAACCACTAGGAAAGTCGATATGCCCCGGACAACCATCGCTCCACCCGGACTTTTTGTACTTAACCACGGAATCCCATATGTTGAATTTCCTTTTCGAAATCGCCGTATACAACTCCTGGATCTGATGGCGGAGGGTCTCAATCTGCTCAGTATGGCCAAGGCAAGAGAGAAACTTGGGGCTGTTCGAAATGATTGAAGTAGTGAATGAAAATGAGAGAATGTGGTCAAGGATCTCGCGGGGAACTTTGGATCCGACCTTATGTGTGGCTGTCTCTGCCACTATCAAATCATAGAGCATGTTGATTTTAAGTAGCATTGCCAATAACACAAGGTCAACATGGTACTCAGAGGATATCAGCCATTGAACATCCTCGAAAGGATCTGACGTCTCATCAACTGCTTTTAGCCAATCCTGAAACGTGTATCCGGGTCCGAAGGTAGACAAGATAGACACAGGAGAATTTGCCATATGTGTCTTCATAAGATTATAAAACTCCACGTATCGACCCAGCCGAAAGTACAGACACAGTATCTCTATGGCGTTTTTCGAATCATTGCGATACAAGTGACCGGTCTTCAACATAAGCTCCAATTGTGCTTCCACTGCTCGCCGAGTGTTCAACTGACAAATTTCCTGGACCAATAGCATGTGACTGGTGATGTATTCGAGATTATCCGAGCGATACCGCCAGCCCTCATCTGTTGTATCCAAATCTTCAGGACGTATGGTATTTCCATTTTCATCGCGAAACTCGTATCGCCCGGCCTCACGACGCCTATCATCTATTTGAAAGCAGACGCTTTGATGTGCATGCTTATGTTCCTGCATATGCTCCAGGCTGCAGTAGGTGACAAGCTTGCAGGTTTCACATAGATAGGGACTAGCAGGACGATTACACACACTGCATCCGTCGATCACTATGGCGTCGGGGAACATGATGGATATCTTTGTGAGATATGAAAGCTCTAGAGGCCAATAGACGATGCTGCACAAAGTCCAAGATGGAACCTCGTTGGGAAATTTGTATTTATATTACTTTCCCTCCTTGACTGAAAGGCGAAGGAAAAAGAAAGACATTAGGCGGCAGTTTGCGGGAATCCGGAGGGATCAATAGTCCGACTGGCTTTACCGCCCCCGGGAGACTCCGCTTTCTGCCCCGGGTCAAATTAGTTAGTTTGTTCTATTTTTATCAGGTTGGGGGAAGTGCAGCCTCAGCTCTTTGTTATGGATAAATTTTACATTTTAACCAGGTTAAATCCAAAACTCATTGTTTTGTTAATAAATTAAGAACAAATCGAAAGGTCTTTCTAATTCAGAAAAACCCCCAAGAACAGCAAATATAACTTATATCGCAACCACTCCTGTGTCTCCCTCCGTGCTATCTCAAATAGCATGGGCCATGCGTTGCTATTTGCTTCATGAGCCCGAATAGCAAGGGTTCTGATCTGATCATCTAATCTTCGAATTTGTTCCGAACGGTCTGTGCTGTATAGGATCCTGCGATCTTTTGCCATGCTAGGTTTACGTACGATATATTGGTATATTCGAGAATTTGATCAAGAATTTCCATGGGCACCTTACGCCCAATGCACTGTGCTGCTGCATGTAGCGCTTCCAGGCCACTGCGTAATAGTATTTTCATGAGCACTACCATCAACAAGATGTCCACATCGAATTGATATCCAGCCGACGATACCTCCGAGAAGTCGAAATCTTCAAATGGGTCGGCAGATTCCTTGCCACGAAGCCATTGTCGCAGGAAGTAGCTATCGAGAAAGTTCTTTCCGGAAGGCGGCAATGCCAACGCCTACCGTTTAACCAGGTTATAGAATGTATCCACATCGTTCAAGCGCACAGCGTAGCTGATTATCATTGGCAGTAAGACCTCGCCCCAACAATATAGTAGTGGCCCGAGTTCCACTAAATGTTGCCATGACTCTTCGATCGATCTGCGATTTTGGAACTTTTTAAGTGTGTTGATCATGCAGAGCATATCCCAGATGTAGTCAGAGTTATGACGATTTCGATGCAATCTATATGGTTCCAGCTCATCGGGGTGCAGGACAATGCTTCCATCGTCAGCGTAAAGCTTTTTATTGTGAGCCTCAAAAGATCGGCGAGTAGAAAATATCTCAGCGCATTCTGATTAATGCTTGCGTTTGTGCTCGTTGTAATGCGAGGGGCTGCAGACGAGCGCAACCTTGCATTCATCGCACAGCTGGAAGGAGAATAGTATATAACTATCGCGTTTTGAACTGGATGGTTTGAATGTCTTTTTCGGGTGGCCACTGTCAGGATATATAGTAGAAGAAACAAAGCCACCTCGGCCACTATGGGTTACTGGTATCTCCCAAACTACATGTAATTTTCGCGGTATGTGTCTGACCATATACATATACTTGATTATAAATGAGAAAGAATGTATAGGTTGTGGCAGCACTTGGCTTATCATACAGTACAGGTGGTATTCCATCAAATACCCAGAGAGCCCAGTCATAACTACTGCTAATCTATGAAGTGAACAGTTAATTGATTGGTTGATCTTCTATGGTGCTGCCTATCTAACGTGCCCAAGGAGAGGCGGGCAAGCGGCTGACACCTTGCCTCAGGCATCCAAGCGCCAACAAGTGCAGCCACGTTGAAAGACAATCACATTGACAAAAACAGATCAACCGATTTGAACATGATGGCTATACTACTCGCACAAAAATCGATTAACCTCAAAGCCGGTGAGATCCCTAGAGATAATTTCGTAGTCACTTGATGTGTTGTTTTATTAGCTATTGTGTCCTTAAAATTTGTTTCTTATCGCCCCTAATGATAAGAATATAATCACAACCTGTTGATTAAAGCCTTATCTACGGTTCAAAGAGTTGGTCTAGGATGTATATATCATTACTATGCTTAATTAATCTGTTACACAGAATGAGGTTATATAGTGAGAATCCAGCTTCTTGGAAAGAGTTTGCATTCTCCAAAGTCCATTCATATATAAAGAACGCTTGAAGTTCTATCGAACAATAGATCTAGTAACAATGAAACAGATTAGGTTATAGGAACAAAGAATATAATTTAGCAAAGCCTTGCAACGGGCGCAGTCAAGATACGCGACAAAGAACAAGTCTCAAGACCGAGACCAAAGCAATGGCATTTGATGGAAGTAAGAGGAGTGAATCATGGCCACTTGGCCCAGCAGGTATCTTCACGGTTATGAACGCTGGAACCTAGCAATACGAGCCAAGGCGCCGGGGATCGTCACCCAAGCCTCAGCTATACAGCCATCACCTACACAAGGCAGATGATCTGTGTTATAGGGCCAGTTCGGGGGAGGTCCGACGGCCCACACTTGGAAGGAAAAAACGCACACAAAAAGTCGTTCTCCAGAAATGAGGCACGGCCAAATAGCCTTGTTATGGTTGTCCACGGTATCATATAAAAATCGAATCTGTTGGCGAAGCACGTCAATTTGCTCCCTTTGATTGTCTGTGTCCTGAATTGCTCCCTTTATCTGGGTAATAGGGCTAATTGCAGCGAAGGAACAGATGATATTAAAGATCTCTAGTGGCACTTTGAACCCAAAGGCGCAGGAGGCTTCTTGGATAGTTTCCAAGTCCATTAGCATTTTGACCTTCATCAGGGCGACCGACAGAAATTGATATACCGCAAAATTTGACATGATACCTTCCCTTCTCATGTATGTGACGTCTTCCCATGGGTCCGCTTCCTCCTTATCTTTAAACCAGTCTTGATCTGGTTTAAAAATTTGTCCGTTGGCGTATTGCTTATTTGACCCCAGAATCGATCGTTTTATAAGATCATACGCTTCCAGATCACGGTCTAAACCAATCATGAGCCGACAGATCGTGACCTGTGCATATATATTCATCGGGATAATCTCTATGAGCAGCTCTAGCCGTTCCTCGGCGGCTAATCTTGTGTTTATTCCACCCAGACACTGCGCAAGGGCCGTGCGGCAAGTCATCCACCTATTAGCATAAGCAAGATTATGAATCAAGGTGTCCGTATCTGCATCATGAGGGTGTACATTTCCCCCAGTCGGGTCTATAAACGGATACTGGACAAGTTGAGGTCGCCACTCACGCACCTTCTCGCACGGGTCGAGGTGGTATATGCCCATGGCTGCTTTATGTTCTTCACAGCAGAAGTAAGCGGCCTTGCAGCTCCCGCATATCTTCAAGCCATCTTGTTTGTTACAGAAGGCGCATCCTGTTGCTAAGGGACGGGCCCGGCGCACTTCACCAACACGTAGCGAGTTAATCATATTGCCAGAGATTTTCAGTAGAGTGGAATCTGTTTGGCAAGTCTGATCAATGTGAGGAAAATTTACTTCGTGTACAGGAAAGGTGAGTTCTGCTACACGCTTCTAAGCGACGCGGAAATCAGCCTCCTTATAAATATTTTGCGAACGTGGCAAGGCTGTATGATAGCTAACGGGAGTTGCCTACCTGCACATCACATCCCGGGTCTACTCGCACAACACTTGCCTAGCTAAGCAGACATTTTGTCGCCCTGCTCAACCGATGGGTACAATTGGTTATTCTTGTTGAGGCTATCGTATCATGTCACTATATTTTATGGGCACTTTCAAGCTCAAGAAGTTGCGGCAAGAGTGTGTTATTTATTCCTTGAAAAGCCCCGCTCTTAGTCCAAATTTACCAGTCCTAGATGTTAAGATAGCAAAACTGAGTCTTTATATCAGGTTGAAAACCAAAATTACCTTGGGCGAACTTGTGACTGGATCAATCCCAGGTCTTCAGGAGATGATTCTACGAGAGAAGGTTAAAGATACGTAGAAAGTACGATTCAAGCATAAATGACACATATGACCCATGTATTAGGGCTTTCAGTATTCTATAATGATCTGTGGCTTTTCAACTTGTGCAACGTCCGCAAAAAAAAAAAAATAAAAAACCTCGAGAAGCCACTATTCAAGGCAGCAAATTCTGGTCACCGAAGTTTCAGAAAATCGTCGTCACTAGCCAAACAGTCCGGGTCATGTTTGAAAACCATATTTGAAATGTAGTCAAGAGCACCGAGCGATTGCTTCCATGCGTCCTTGATACTAAATCTGGCAACATCCTGGAGACTATAATAGGTGCATCCAGTACGCTAAAGTTCCGGTGGTAGTTGATTTAGTATCTCTTCCTACTCTTGATATGCTCGTGAGACATACCCGCACCAATATGAATGACGATCTTTATCTTTTTTCATATATTCATCGCAGCAGTAAAAGGCTACTCCGCACACACATTCTAACTGAATCTCCATGGAGTCCTAGTGCGCAAATCCGCGGTGGAAGATACTGGCACGAGGCAGGCCTCGGGACAGGTACCAGGCCAGGTGCGACATTCTGCTTGGATGGGCGATTCGATATCAACGATTCGTTTTCAGATAACGGAGCTCTTATTTATAGTAAGCCAATTTTTCGTCGTGCTGATTGTACTTATTCTTTGTATTATGGATCATGCCATTTAGTCCCCGCTTATATTCGAGCTTTCAAGCAGGGCACTACTTGAGCATATCGGCAGAAGAGGGTGAATACCTCCTCAATATCCAACTGGCTCTGATTCTTGTTGGCTCTTGCTATATCACGGCCTCATTTGTCTAGAATCTGGCTATGATTTTGGGGCCTCCACTGATTCGCGCCCAATTTTCATTGCTTCTGATGACTTCCAGTACACTTCCTTTCCTAAATTCTTTTGCGCAATTTACATGGTCTCTGAGACTAAAAGCTGCTATTTCCATAGTGTGATAACTGCGAGATGTGAAAAACGCAGGTAGATATGGTCCGATGATAGCAAATCTTCCCCAAAGAAACAGCAGTGCAAAGTGAATCGTTTACCCACTCAGCCAGAGATTACAATTTCTAATGATATATCTTCTGTTTTACGCGAAAGATAGTTTCAATGTGTTAATTAAGCGAAAATGAAAGGTTTTTATAAACTTATAATCAATTTGTACCAGCCAACAATACAAAAACAACCATTCAGAGAGAACATTTGAAATCCAAAGATGAACAGTAGGTCCAGCTGACACAATATATCGAGCCTAAGTCGGTCGCTCTTCTACCTATTCAACCGCAGTTATCTAGACAGAGATGGTATCTGAGCCCAAGTTACTCGTCTCCAGCTCTCCTCCTCTCAGTCTGAATCGTCCTGCTCCATAGAAATGTCATATAGCGAAATGTCCTCCCACTGATTAGGTTCATTCTTGATTTCGAGGCTCGTCGGTATCTGATTCTCGACGAAGAAGCCTTCGACGAACCGCACGGCACCGGGAGTCTTTTCAAAAGGCTCACGCAACTGCATACGAATGAAAATGTGAGAGTTCGAGTTTTCTTGAGATTCAAACATGTTAGCAGGGACCTCCTTGGCCATGAGATACTCCCAAGTCTGCTGGTTACACCGATGAACATCGAGTATCAGCATACGGACTTGCTCGTTTAGGCGTACGAGAAGGCGCTCATAACCGGCTTCGCGGATGATGCATCTGTCATCTTCTGTGGTGGTGATGGCATTCAAGAACCCGAAATGAGCCTCATCTTTTAGCTCCTTTGGTACGATTCTGTCTTTCGTACCGGCAACCTTGGGTATGTCCTGCAATTGTGCTATCACTCTCAGTTTCAGTATCACAAATGCCACATGCAGAATCAGGGAAGATGGAGTCCTTCGGATTACCTCAAGGTCATTCAATGCGTTCATCTTGTTGTAGTCCCTGGGGCGTTCATTAAGGGGTCTGTATTTGACCGCGAGAGCGCTGATGTATTGTCTCATAAACTTATAGGTCTCGTCATCGGACTTCAGTCGGAACATGAGACCCAACAGTGACCTCAAAGAAACATTCACGTGAGGTTCATCCGGACGCATGATCAGGGCCTTCTTCAGCAACTTGATCAGCTTCTCACCAGCCTGCCTGGTATGAAGTTTTTCCAGAACTCTCGCATAACTAATTCGAGCCTCGATGTAACTGTTCAAGTCGAATATATTGTTTCTGAGCATCGTGCCATGGTTGGTGCTGTCTCCAGATGGATTTTCTGGAGCAATGGGTATCTGTGACTTGATCGTTTCGTATTTGGTCCGGATATGAACAACCTCTCTACATACTGATTTATGCAGAGTGCGGTGAGAATCCCTATGTTCCTCGTTACAATAAAATACCAGCTTGCAGCGCTGGCAAGGGTAATTATTATGTGCGCTGAGGCAGTGAGGGCAGTCGCTCTGGAATTTATTCGGTTGAGGCATAGCAACGGTTATAAAGTTAACAGGTACACAGTCTTTGGGCGAAGGTTTTGTTATGGTCCAGATACTGCACGACGCGACGCTGTCAGTCGATTGTAACATAAGAGCAAAAGAAACCTGTTGTTCTAGATTATTTCTAGTTATTTATATCACCTTCGGCTCTACCACTAATATCAAGGGACAGCCCATTACCTCGAGCTCGACTCTTTCTTTCTTCATAAAGAACAATGATAATATAGCTTAATTCACGGTCTATTCATACTAGGCTTTCTATTTGCAAAGAAATGCTATCAAATAAATTCACATTAAAGACATCTGGCTATTTGTCTATTGCAGTGGAATATCCCGGTAGCGGGGATGTTTTTCATTCTCGAGAACCAAAGATATGGAATTTGTAGAATTGCTTTTTACTACTCTATATCTCCTTAAGTTGGCCTCTCCACTAAGATTAGGATTATCAAACATAGAGGTCCATAATCAACAATTAAGCAAAGAACTGATTGGATTAAACATAAAAAACCCGCCTTTCATACCAGGCGTAGGCTAAAATGAGTCCTCGGGTTCTATATTAAACAGTATGCTAGGAAAGCAAAATTGAACATTCAGCATGGGTATATATGCTGCTTAGCTAACTGGCCGCTAAAATATCCTCATGATCAAGACAAGGTAGCTGCACTCTGCGAAGAATTCTGTCAAGATAGTCCATCGCACCCGGAGATTCCCTCCAGGCCAGTCGCATGTCTCGAATAATTGAAAGTGCCTCAATCTCTTTCCTTTCAATTTCTGTCTCTCTAGAGGAATGATATTTGCATGGATCTGGGAGCGGTCCATTATCGAACATGCCGCGCCACAGATATTCATTCTCCTTGTGGACTTCTTGCACCAGGATTATGACGTCCTTCTTTAATCCTGGTTCAGTCTACCGTAGCTATCACCACTTTCAATGACGCGATGGCTCTTCCACACCAATGGACTGACAGCGACCTCTTGACGGACCTGGTCCAAGATTTCGGTAGGCATTTTTGATTCAAGAGCTTTTGTGGTCATTCTCAGCATTTTCAGGTCCACGGCCACTCTGACTCTGAGCAGAGTTTTGATGACGTTACACCGGGTTATCATTTTCAAATGAATGTCGGATACTGGGTTTATTGGACAGATTTGGAACCTTGAAATGTCAAGCCCGTCGAGATACTCACAAGCGAGCTCGTCGTCCCGGCTGAGGCGTATCAGGAAGGGTGCAACGCGAGTGGCTTCACAGGCAGGTTTAAGATGTGATGGAACACACCAGTTCTTGACGAGTTCCATTTCACTTTCTAGCGACAGGGTAATATGAATTGTTGAAAGATAGTATCTGAAATGCTTTTGAGTAAGCGTGTAATTGAGCAAGAAGAAAGGGCCATGGATTGTCCCTCTGACCAATGTTTGCCAATCATTGATGATCTTGACTGTTCTCAAAACACGATCACGCTCTTGCAAGTGTTCAGGTCGCGCAGTACAGAGCTCTTCACACTTTGGTTGGTGCGCTGCTTCATCAGCTTCTTGATGCTCCTTGCTGCAATACAGCACCACCATGCACCCACCCTGACATGGAGTCAGGTTGAATGAGGAGTTGCAGTAGAAGCAGCCGTTACGCAAGACGGTCATTTTGCGACAGAAGGCTCAATACCTCGACAAGAATGGTCAGAGAGCTAGAGATGAAATTAGACATGTCTTTAAGCTGCAGTGAAAGCTAGGTTTGGCCTGAGCGTGCTCTGCACTTCCCTAAGAGACATATTCCGATTATTAGAGCCAAATAATTCATTGAGTAACTATGGAATACCGATATAAGCTCTGGTTGATACTTTCCGCAGAAAGATCCGCCTTAGGTGGTGAGATGCGGAATATTCCAGTTCCTGATCCAGGATTCTTCGTTTCGCTGTTTCTGAACCAACAGGGAATGCAGGACTGACAGCTGGGCTGGGATGCTCTGGCTCAGAATACCTCCATATAGGTTCCTTGTGAAAATCAACCGAGTTTCTCACCTCTTCAACTTCGTCTGAGATCTTTCGGTCGGAGACAGCCGGGATCGACAACGCTACTCCGTAGACAGCGGAGCAGAATCATGTTATGTATTCTGCACTAAACAAGCTAAACGACTAAAACTTGAGAACAACAGCTTTAGCGCTGGCAAGGATCAGCAAACATGACCTCATCCAAGCTGCTCGTGCATAAACTTCCAGCGACTAAACTCTGCAGAGTAAAATCCCGATGCATCCCCGCATCTTCTGCCTGGTGTTCATGCGTGGCCTGTTCGCGGGTCCGGAGAATTTCCTCATGCAATCTCTGTTTCTCCGGATGTATTTAGAGTGGAGGTTATCCCGGCTGCAATGTCGGTGATGTCTTGCAGGAAGAACACCATTGCAGTTCGTCATGTATTTTCTTAACTCTTTGGCCGTTCTGGTCGGACTGACTCTCGCTCCTCTCGCTGCATCTATTTCGGACTCGCCTCTTTCAACATCCGGTCGCTGGATCGTCGACTCAGATGGAGTCAACGTCACCTTTGCTGGGGTAAATTGGCCCGGTGCAGCAGATGCGATGCTGCCTGAGGGTCTTCAGTACCAGTCGATCGAGTATATTGTCGGCAAGGTGAAGGAGTTGGGAATGAACTCGATTCGACTGACATTTGCGATCGAAATGATCGACGACATCTATGATCAGGGCGGTGATGTCCCGATCAAAACTTCCCTCATTAATGCTCTTGGTGAAGAGAATGGGACTTCTGTATATCAGGATATTGTCAGCCACAATGATCAATTTGGGGAGGATACTACTATGCTAGATGTGAGATAGTTTCGTCATGTGTGGATTCTGCCAGACACTGAACATGACGTACAGGTCTTTGATGCCGTCGCCAATGAGTGCTACAACCAGGGTGTCTATGTTCACCTTGACAACCACGTCTCCAAGGCCAAGTGGTGCTGTTCCACTGATGACGGCAACTCTTGGTTCGGTGACGAGTTCTTCAACGTGACCAGCTGGCATAGAGGATGGAAGTATATGGCTGATCATGTACGTCGTCGCATACCCCTTACTTATATATCGTATCTCACCGACCAATTTCTAGGTCAAAGACCTCCCTGCTGTCAAAAGCATCGGGATGCGCAACGAGTTCCGTCAGCCAGACGACAAATCCACGAGCGAAGAATATACCTGGACAGTCTGGTACAAGAACATGGTTGAGAATGCCAAGCAGATCAACGAGGCAAATCCCGATCTCTTGATATTTTTCTCCGGGTTGAACTTCGACACGACCTTGGCGCCTATCCCTACTGGGGCAGACCTCGGCGATGGCACCAAGTTCAATAAGGATGATTTTGCTTTCGCCGATAAGATTGTGCTTGAGCTCCACAACTACGCCAGTGACACTGGGAGCTGTGACAGTTTGAAGTCAAGCCTCTATGGCAGTGGCTACAATGCGTTGGATACGCAGAACTCGACTATTGTGAATGTTCTGCCGGTGCTGTTGACCGAATTCGGATTCTCTCAGGATGATACTTCTTACAAGACCGTTTATGCCTCCTGCCTGAGGGAATATTTGCCCGAGGTTCAATCTGGGTGGATGGCCTGGGAACTAGGTGGGAGCTATTATATTCGTGAGGGAAAGCAAGATTTTGACGAGACTTGGGGTGAGTTCTTTTCAGAAGAGACTAACCCTAGTTACTAACAGCTCCACAGGGCTTCTTGACCATACCTGGTCTGACTGGAGATCTTCCGATGCGATCAACAAAGGAATGATTCCTATGGTTAATGCGACGTTGGGAGCTAAGTAGTTGGATTCAGTAATTCACGAAAGCATTGTGCGACCGGCCTCTGATCGGTAATCTTTATTTTCAGCTCATGCAACCACAGTCTCTTTTTAATGCTGTGTATTTCCTTTTCTGTTTGCTCTTCCTCTATATTCGTTCCGCAGAAAGCACTCGAAGTCTGTAAATGAACCATGATTCCGACCCATTTCGTACGAGATATGTCTTTTTTTTCTCTTATTGGAGTACATACGGACTTCTCTGGTTACTCCCGGTCATGACTGGCCCGGTCCTCCGTGTAGAACTACTTCTTGTTCTTGGCCTAACGTGGCAAACCACGCTTGACATCACCCCATCCTAAAGGTTAATTCAGTTGCCTTGCCAAATCCCTGTTGTGGAACGTCCTGATAAGGTGGTTGGCGAAATTTGCCTGCACCTGCATGGAGCCGAGACATGCTCGTCCTGGTTGGCAGATGAGGTCAAGCCCGTCGTACGGTTGGACCTGGGGATAGGAACGACTGCGACAATTGGACCGGCTCTGTATGCCGTATCTTTTCATGGTTGAGCAGCATGTTGAACACCTGCGCTGACTGCTACAAGTATTCTTGGGATCAACGACGTAGGTCTCAGTGTCTCGGCTTGATGCTACAACTGTTTAGCCAATGCACTACGGACTAGCACATACACAATATTTAGCAAGATTTTACCTATCTAATCACCGTCTGACGGACCACCTCTTTGTCTTCCTCATACCTGTCGCTGACTTCGTTCATTTGGCGAAGGCAACTTCGCTTTCGCAGTATCAAACACATCGCTGATATAACCCAGAAAATATATCGCGTAACCCTCTATACTTGTATTTATCCATATAGTTCTTGCTGCTTCCTAAACGCCTCCACCACTGGCACACGTCTGGTCCGTTTTATGTGTGTGCCATGATGTAGGAGAACTGGATCACTTGGCTGGGGAAATGATAATTGCCAAAGATAAAATTGACCGAGGATGACAATTGCTGAAGATGATATTTCCTGAATGATAGCTTGACGGAACAGAACAAAACATCATACAAACAACATGAGGAGACTCCTTCGGTCAAGTAGCTAGGTAACCCATACCAATATCCTCGGCCAATATTCGATCAGCCATATCCAATGACGGTGTTTGAAAGAGCTAGACCCGGTAGTGTTAGTTTGCGTTACAGTGCAGCGTTACAGTTCCCTGTGCGAGTCCATCTGTGGGGGCGACATGATTTATCGTGAACGGGCCTCTGAAACAAGGTAGCATTTCTATTAGGTCCGGCTGCGTTGTGTTCGTTTATCGTGGCGATTTCTTGCCATGTTGTCGGTTGGGAACCATCGTGTGGTTTGATTAAGAAGATGGCACGGGTTGGAGTGGCCCGTTAGGAATGGCTCATTCCAGGGGAGATGTTCTGGAGAGCACGTTGGTGGTATTTTTAAATAGTCCCGTTCTTTAATGGGGCGATCGGTTTAGATTCTATCGTTTCAACAGGTCGTGTTTCATTCTGGGTAATGTGGGCTAATGTAATATCTCCTGAGCTCATCATGAGCTCATCATATTCCGGGGGAGAATGCCTGTGTGACGTTTTTATCATTCGAATCCCCATCTTTCTCGTAGTAGACAAGAGTCATGGCATTCTAATGGATTACACAGTAATTTCCTGTACCACCATATGCAAAGCGAAGAAATCACTGCATTGAATTAAGATTAACTATGCTTCTAGTATCAATTTGACTATTTTCAGCGTCGCAAAAAGTCATTCCAAAGCCCAAAATACCCAATTTCGTTCGACAAATTCTCTCAATTCTCCTTGATTCTTTCCCTATCCACTGCACCTCAATTCCAGAATGCTACTCATGGCTGACATGCAAGATCGCCGCATTCCCCGAGTCCTTTGACCAAATCTCAAACCGTCCATCGTCGGTCCCAATGTAAATCGAGAACCTGCGTTTGTCGTCCGCGCGCAGACATGCTGGTGTGACGTCCAGCGCCGGCGGATTGTTGTACTCTGGCACATTGAAGGTGGCGAAGACAGGTCCAGACGCTGGGGCAGTCTCTCCCGTCACGGTTCCTTCGTTCCAATCAGATGAGCTGGCCGCGGCGACAGTGATGTTGAACGGGTCCGGAGATAGGCGCGTGAATGCCGGGAACTGAACAGTACATTTGGTGATGGAGGAGGTCAGAGCAGGTATTCTGAAGCCCACGAGGGTTTGGGTGAAGTTATGTGCATTGGCCTTGGCCCCGAGGGTCTTGTGGAAGCCGAGAGTGCATTTCAGACAGTCTTGCTCTGGGCAAGCTGGGCAGCCTGCAGTGGAGCGGATGATCGTGGAGTCTTTGACGGCGGGGCGGTCGGTGGTTGCGGCGAGAGCGGCCATGAAGCTGCTCGCCAGCGCAAGTGCCGACAGCAAGAGCAGAGTAAGGTGCATTTTGTAGGGTGGTGTGAACGTTGAATGAGACTATCTGAGGTCAACGCGGAGGAGAGGTTGAGGTTGAATGAAGTAAGGGATAGACAAGTCTTGATTGTCTGTCTTGTTGGCCTGTTTTATACCCCGTAGTGGCAAAAGTGTTGTCTGTTGTTCACCATAGATAATTTCTGACTGTCGATCATGATGCTACCTTGGTGAATAGGAGTTTGGCATGTCTTATTGCCAGCGAGTTGATTGGAAGGGTTTCTTGTATCTTTACGAGCTAGTTGCCTCTCCATACTTAGAACTGCGAGCCTGACCGCAAGGCCCAATGACAGGTCAGCTAGGCCACACATGCGCTAACTGCTGCTGGATTGACGGCCTGATTGATGCTAAGTATAGCATTTCCAGGGAATGAGCTTTTTGTCCTAGGGGAAGTGCTCGTCGGCTGTCACACAAGGCGTGATTCAGGACACACAAGCCACGAATTGCATGTGTTGACACATTCTGAACGGACCTGATTATCTTTGAGGGTAGACAGGCATGTTCACAGGTTAGTTGACAGCTGGATCTTGTCGATACAAGCAATGTCAATTGATCTCGGGAATCGAGGAAGATCTGCGATTAGCGCCCGACCTGGTCGGCTAAAGTCTCAGGATCAGCCGCGTTTCCACAAATCGGGATGGCCGATAAGTGAGTCACGTCCAACAGGTTGTCACTTCTCTCACTCCTCAGCCCTCAATCCGATCAGTCGAGAGCCCACGTTGACCATGTACAAACTCGTGATTTTCGATTTCGACGGCACGATCTTTGACACCTACGATGCGATCGAGCACTCCGTTCTCCTGACATTCAAGACTCTCCTCCCCGGCTTCACCGCGCCTCTTGATCAAGTGCGTCGGCTTGTTTCCACGGGCGCTCCTCCCGGAAACACGTTCCGAAGTCTTCATCCCGACCCGAATGTCTTTGACGAGGATCATTGGGTCAAGACATATCGCGAACTGTATGCTGCCCACGGCCAACAACGTGCCAAACCATACCCTGGTGCCGAGCAGGTGCTGAGCTCTTTGCGCGCCCGCGATGTTCCCATCGTCATCATCAGCAACAAAGGCGTGGAAGCTTTAAAGTCGGCATTGGGGAAGACTGGCTTGTTGGGTTACTTTCCCGAACCCTTCATCTTGGGGGATGGCATCCCCAGAGTTACGCGGAAGCCCGATCCTTCCAGCTTCACGGACGTGATCTTACCGAGGTTCAAGGAGCTTCACGGGGAGAAAGAGGGCGAGGTTCTCATGGTCGGCGACACCCGCACTGACATTCAATTCGCCCGCAATATCGACGCAAAGGTTTGCTGGTGTCGGTATGGGCAGGGCGACAGCGAAGAGTGTGCTCGCTTAAGCCCGGACTTTACCATCGATTCGGTGACCGATCTGCTGGACATTGTGGGCGTTCCGAGGACAGAGTGATATCCGGCCGATTGTATTAGCCTAAGCATCGTCGTTCTTAGATTATTTCACTCGTCGTCTTATATAATATCAAATAGCATCATTGATTCCACGATGCATCATCGGATGGAATACTGCATCATCGATCTGCGGATAAATCACCTTTCTTTTCGACACCTCGTCGCTAGGTCTGCCGCATTTTCCGATCACCTTGCATGACGCGGGGAAGAAATGCAGGGAGTCATAGACTATTGCATCTTGGACCAGTGGGTGAGTAAAGATTGTGTCGAAGCTGAATAAAAGAGCTGGCTCAGCCGCACTGACGAGGGAATTTGTCGATGCACATCCACGCAGATCCCTTCGATTCAAGCCTCTTCTTGACCAAACATGGCACGAGGAAATGAGAATTCTCGCTATTCTATTCAAATAATCATCATGATACGCTAGCAGACACTATCTTAGTGCGAATTCTGAGGCTAGTCAATACACGTATCACTAGCATCCCAGCTGACGTGATAACCTTGCGAAGTAAGGAATGCTCGACAGGACGGTGGCTTGACTCACTCCCGGGCTCCGGGGGGGGAGGGGCTACTAGGGGACCTATAAAAACAGTTGATATATTCCTCAGCGACAAGGTCGCCGATTCGTTAGGCTGGCATCTGTCTGAAGCCTCCGACTTGTGCGTTATAGCGCAATATGCCCGCGGACGAAGAATCTCCTCTCCTCCACGACGCGACCGGGGAAAGGTCGAGTGTCCAGGAGCGACAGAAAAAACAAAGTAAACACGCCAATCAACTGGTCGTTTATGGCTCTTTCATCGGTAAGCACCTCGAGGCGAGTTCAAACCACCCCTAATGTTGCATCAGGTATCTTTGTTGCGGCAGCGGATGATTCTCTGGTTCTTTCAACATGGAGCACCATAGCCTCTCAGTTCCAACGTCTGTCCGAGGGTTCTTGGTTGGTTGTTGCGTATAATTTTGGATTCTGCGTCTCGCTCCCCATGGTATCGCCCCTCATGGTAATGTTATTGTCCACGGCACTGATTGCTCTGCGGATAGTATGGCACCCTGAGTAGCATGTACGGTCGGAAAAACGTGCTTCTCGGTGCTTATGCCCTATTTGCCGTGGGATGTCTGGCATGGTTTGTTTACATGCCTCAGTATCTCGAGCATTTACTCACCCTCGTTTAGCGGTCTCAGTGGCTCATTGGAACAATTGGTTCTCGCCAGAGTGCTAGCGGGGATCAGTGGCGGGGGAATGATCTCGCTGGTTTCCATCATCATCACAGGTATGTCTGGCATTCTCTACCAAGGTTTTTAAACTCATGTATGGCAGACTTGATTCCCGCCGGCGATGTAGCTCTTTTCCGAAGTTATGCAAACGTTGTCAGTGTCCTTGGAAGAAGTCTCGGTGCTCCGCTGGGAGGACTTCTGATTCAGACCATCGGATGGCGATGGTAAGTGCGCATTGGTCACATCGCACGTGTTCTTCGCTCAGAAAATCAGGTCTTTCCTTGGCCAGCTCCCTCTCGTCATTCTCTGCGGTTTGGTGTCATTCCATGGCCTTCCGTCCTCGTTGAATGATCGCGAAGTCGAAGAAGACCATGAGAATGCTCCTCCCACCAAGCTGTCGGAGGTTGACTTTGTTGGTCTTTCCTTTCTTGCTCTAGCCACTATCATCCTACTCTTTATACTTCAAGATGCAAGCGTCACGACAGAAGGCCATACTCACTTGGTAACATTGCTGGTGCCATCTCTGGTGCTGGCTGTGGGGATATTCATCTTGGTCGAAGCGTTCTGGGCTCGAAGGCCTCTCATTCCGCTGAACTTTATGCTAGGATCGTTGGGCGGTTATTCCGCGGGACAAGTTTTGATGAACGCTGCTCGAATGGCGGTGAGTCTGCGCATTCCTACAGATGAATGTCTACTAACCATCGGTCGCAGCTTATCAGCAACCTTGTCCCCTATTTTATTCGGGTCGATCACGCTAGCAATGTCTTTGCTTCGTCCACGTATGTCATCAGCTCTGTGGGAATATCCATCGGAGGTGTCGTAGCCGGTGCCATTATCAAGAGGTACAATTAATTCCGGTCTCACGAGACATTGCTGACATTTGATGCAGAACGAAGCGTTATAAGAGCATGACGGTCACTGCCGGCATCATCGCCATCGTGGTGTATCTCCTCATCTTTGTGCGCTGGCGTGATGGCTGCTCCATCCCCGAGATATTTTACTTATTTCCCAACGGCTTTGTTGCAGGTGTACTGTTCTCCACCCAATTCATTGGAATGTCGTTCGGCGCGCCGAAAGGGTGTCTGGAGACCTGCATCACGACCTATTATCTGTTCCAGCAGCTGGGGTTGATCATCGGCCCTGCGTCGGGGGTGGCGATCGTTCAACGAGTTTTCGGGAGTCGTCTCTCGCAGAACCTGGAAGATTTCCCGGAGAAGGAGGTATTATCGTTGAGCCTGCGTAATGGATCTCTGACATCTAATCGTTGGTCTTAGTTCATCGGCCGGATCCTGGACGACGCAAGATTCGCCGAGACGTTGTCGGACTCTGTGCAGCAAGTTGTTCGCTTGAGCTACCTTTACGCTTTTAAATTTGTGCCACGTGAGTTTTGTCGGTTTTCTTCCGGAAGAGAGGTCTAACGAAACTTGTTTAGTCGTTTCTGCAGTGTGTTCGATGGTCATGTTGCCCATCATTATGTGGCAGAGAGAAGAAAAGATCGAGTAACTGGTTGGCAAATATTATTGAACTCCTCGAGTAAAATACTGCGATGGCCATACCATTTTCGATTCCCTAGGCTCCAATGTCCTAACCTTCTTAGGATGAGAAAGAGCAGTGGCAAGTGAGATTTACAGGGAGCGACTGGAGCTCGAACAAATATATAAAACGATAGGTACAAGTAGGATAGACGAACGTTAAAGTTGGGGTCCATCAACCTAGGAATATTGTTGTTTGTCAAGAGCCCTTGATGAATGTCAGGAGTTTTGGATGAAATGGAGTCATTAATCACGTCTTGTTGACGTTGAAAGTACTGTAGAAAGACTGGAGACCAGCGACGTCTGTCAATTCTCACCGCCCCCATTTCTGGAGAATTGCCTGTTTGGGTAAGCACGAAGTCACTGCCTGCCTAAGGCCTCCATCACCCAATCTGTTTAATCATGGCACGTGATGTCAAGTTTGCGGTGGTCAACAGCAGAATTCCCAACGCCATTCAATCCTCTACAATACCACTCTCGGTGAACTCCCTCAACTTTTGTTTGTGGAATCTTCGAGCAGCATGCAACAAAGCGAGGCTCTTCCCGTGCAACCGGCGACGTGGATGAGGTGCGCGGTTCCCAGCCGTCATCAAGGCTGGGAGGGACATCCTGGATAATCCAACCAGTACATCATGCAATCTGAAAAGGAGCACGTTGCCTCTGACCCGACGTCGTAGTCGAGCAGGGAAGCGCGTTTACGAAATTTCCCGTCGCGCGGCCGCCCGGTGGGTAGCACAATGTATTCAAATCAAGGGGCTATGCAGTACGCCTGTAGGTACGTTGCAAATTTCCACAGCTCTACAACTAAGTACACACTACCAGGTTATATAAAAGTGAGTCATGTCCCTGTTCGGGTCTTTTGACACAAATAGCTACTTCTATGCCCATGTCTGCTAAGGTGATTGGTTCCCAGGGACTTTAGTTGGGGCCGAAACGACAGGTTCGTCGTTGGAACGACAGGCCCCGTATCTCAGGGTCTGGGCAGGGGCTCGTTATCCTCATGCGTTAGATAGTTAGAGAGCAGTCGGACAAGGTCTGACTCAGCCTTGTCGGTTGGAGATGGTTTGGAATTGCAAGGTCGCACTGCAGCAGAAAGGTTTGAAGATAAGCGGCAGCCTGGATAAAAGGGCTTCAAAGATCGCTCCGGATGGGGGTCAATTAATTGGAAACAGTGAAACTGACACGTATAATCTAGTCTAATCCCGATTTAGAGTTGATGTAAGATGTGTTGACCCTGTATTTTTAAATAATGAGCAGGCACCTGTCAGTGCCTGGTGCCAGCCCCCAAACAATATATAAGCATCCTCACTCCCGGTAATACGGTGATGGCAACGCAGCGACTTGGATGGTCTTGCCTGATGTATCTAACGCGAACCCTTGGGCAGGCGAGAGACGCGGCCCCAGCAGCCAACACTGTGTAGGTACAGGAGGGAAGTCGGTTCAGCCGCAAGCGCAGGCAACGCCAAGCTTTGCCATGATCTCCTCACATGGTTCGAATTAATTTTTACCCCGCAAAGATCGCTTTGCTTTGCCACCGGAAATTGGAGACGCTGGGAATCTGGTCAGCCATCGCTGCTGTGGAGGATCTCTGCGTCCATTATTTGGTGTCAACTGTTTACTAGTTCATTGTCCCTATGGTCTCCAAGTACTGTAGTAGTAAAATGTAAGAAGGCTAAAAAAAGAAAAAGAGAAAGAAAAGCTCTGAATACGGCGTTGAGGGCCATTATGGCGTGATTAATCTGCCCGTCGGCGAAACTAGAGAGTCTTAGCGCAGACGGGGTCCTTCCAAAGGACCAAAGGACTCCCCTGTCAGTTCCAACTTCCAACGAGGGCCCCGTATAGCCACATCCTGGTCTTTGGTTAGCTACCAACGAAGGTGGTCCGGTGAGGCTGTGAGAACCGAGAAGGTGAAGTGTGACGGGTGAGGTGTACAAGCTACAAGCCTCTACGGTGTACGCTGTACTCCGTCTGTTGGTGATTGTCGCTCCCGGAAGGAGAGGCGACGTCAGAGCGCAGGACAAGCCGATCACCACGTCGAAGGAAGGGATCTCAAGTTCCCAACCGGGAGGGCGAGCACGCCTCTCGTTGCCTCTTCCGGCACCCCACGTGACCCGTCGTGGTCGGAATGAAGATTGGTGAGTGAAGAATGAAGAATGAAGAATGAAGAATGGGAGATGTACAAGAACTCTAAAAAAAAAAAAAAAAAATTTCACGAGACATTTTCGGCGAATTGCCTACTCGCTCGGACTGCTGCCTGAATTTTACCCCTTTTCTGCTGTATGAGGATTGAGGAGAGAGGAGAGTTAAGAGTTAAGCTCGAAAGGGAGCCCGGCTTGGCGGTGGCTGAGGCTGAAAGGAAGTTGGGAAGCTTGCCGTGTGCATCTCCAGCAGCTGGTCGACATGATTCGCCGGAAGTCAAATCCTGCATGTCTCCTCCGTATCACTGGCGAAAGTCTACTCTGTAATCTGTACTTTCTCAATAGACACCGTAGGTACTGCGTACTGTCTTCCCTAGGACGCCGGGACAGGTTACTCTATCCGAGCGGTCAGGCATCAGGCCCTTCTGATTTTCTCTCTCTCTTGTTCGCTCTCGCTCCGTCCGATCGGTGTCGGTTCACTCTGCCTCCAGCCTGGTTGGGCTGATCTCTCTCCACTACCCACCGCCGTCTCTGCCTTCTCAGTCTCAGTCTGCCGTTCCCAACAGTCACTGTCAGTCACCGTTGCAGTTCCGTACACCCTACACCGTACCACCCCGTCCTCAGCTTCTCCACATGGAAGCACTAACGCAATCCCAGGAAGCATGACGGATGGGTGATGTAACCGCGAGAGGGTAGGGAGTCACTCGCGCAAGAAAAGAAAAAGGATTCGAAATCACGAAAAAAAAAATTCGAAAAGGAGAGAGAGCAGGTGGAGAGGGAACTATTTGGCAACTACCATAGTACTACCATGATAGTACCATCGTGTAGTTTATCTGGCTAAGCCTTGGTGCTGAGACAATGTGGGTTGGTTCTTGCTCGCCGTCTGGTGGCTAAGGTGTGATAGTTAATCGAGACGAGGGCCTTTCCTTCTGGAAGATGGTCGGGGAAATCTTGGAGCAGCTATTAATAAATATTGAACCGTCCGGAGTACACCGTACGTGTAGTACAGTTACAACGGAAGATGAGAAAGGCAAAACAAGACTCAGAATGAAACCCGCCGGCAGCGAAAAGAGGGGAACCCTGGAAGCTGCGGATGCAGCCACCCAGCCAACCAGGGCGCTCCAACGCGGTTGCTCGGAACATCTCCAAATCTGAAGACAGGTGATTGGACCAGCACCCCGACAAAGTGGGGCGGGACGACCACGGTCCAGGCCGCGAAGGGAAAATGATCACTTGCCCGACAGGCTGTCAAGGCGCCGAATGGAGAATCGCGAGTGGCATTAAATGAATCAGAAAATAATAATCATGAAAAGACAGGGAAAGATGGACCCAAACCCTGATTGTCCAGTGGAACAAGATGTTGCAAAAAGTTGCAACGTTAGGGCAACCCTCAGCGACCACCCCCTCTTGCACCTGTCATCCCTCTCTCGTGCTGTTTTTTTTTTTTTTTTTTTTTTTTTTTAACATTTACCGGAGTTAATCCCTGCCTGCGTCGAGGAGGGGGTCACTCCCTCACTTACTGAATTTAGAGGACACGCCGGACCCCTGTTTCAGTGGAAAATTCGGGTTCTGCGGGCCCCGAATGGAACAGGGTCTGCATAGCCGACGCTTTGGATTGGTCTAAGGGGGGGACCGAGGGCCAATAATGGGGGCGACGGTGGAGCTAAGGGGGCTTAGCCGTATTGTGACCGGGATCGTACGCGCGCAATACGCCGGAACGACGCTTGTCAGGGCCAGTGGCCAGGGTCCAGTACGATTGTTACAGGGTCTCGTGGGGCGGCATTTCACTCTCTGCGTGCTCTCAGTGGGCCGAACTGACTAACAGACCTTCTGGGCTCAAGCTTATTCCCGTTTTTTTCTTTTTTCCTTTTTTTCTTTTTTCTTTTTTGTCTTTTTTTTTTTCTTGTTCGCGTGTCTTTTATATGAGTCGCAGCGGCTGCTCGACCGGCGTTGGATGATGCTATGAGGTTGGCGATGGTGATGTCGGACCGTCTGCCGCTCTCGGTCTACTAACTGAACCCTCCATCCTTCTTGACTCGTTCATCTTATTTTATTTCCGCCGTCTACATCCTTTCTTTCTTCCTCCATCCTCCGTGAACCCTCATCATCACTAACCTTCCCTCCCCCCTTTCGTCATTTCCCGCCTAATCGACAGAAAGGAAAAAGCCAAAAAAAAATCCATTCATTCGCCCCATCTCATACGAACCATCTCAACCACAGCTTCCTCGCCTCTTTCCTTTCCGTCCTGCCATGTCGCTGATCTGACTGATTAATCGTCCGGTCGTGCCGTCATGAAGCTCGCCAACTGTCTCCACGCCGTCGTGCGGCGTATCATTCCTCTGGCCCAGCGACTGCGCGCCTCGCCGGGTCATTTCTTCGATGCCTGCTGGGAGTTTTCCCGTCGCTATTTCTTCACCGTCGCCCTGTTCGCGCTACTGGGTGCCAAAATCCTCCATCTCTACGCTCATATCTATTCGCTGCCTCCGCCCAAATTCCTGCTCTGGGGAATCACCTTCTTCTTCCAGGATGTCTGCGTCCTCATCCTCATCCGCATCCTCACACAGCGGATCCCGTGGCGACCGATCGCTATGGCCTCTGCCTTGCTAGTCATCCCCTTCAGGTATGGTACCCCCCTTCGTGAAATCATGTGGCGAAGTACCGAAGATGCTAACTCGTTGAAAGTCTAATGATGTCAGGAATGGCCGCTGCCAATACCTCCTTCTACGTCGTCACCGGCGCTGAGATTCACTGGCGCCAAGCCAAGACATTTCACCGCGATGCTGCCGCCATTCGCACGCTCCTCACCGGTTTGACGGGCTTCCTGATAGTGGAG